GGACTGCGCTAGAGGGGAAGGAGCGCCCTCTTGTGTCCACTCTCTGTCAGTGTCAGTGGATAAAGAAGCTGTCTGAGAAATGAACATTTCAGACCTTTTTTTTTTCTTTTTTTCATTTCAGACCTTCTGATGACATGCCAGTGACAGCAAACTCCAGTTATGCCCCTCCTGCATAAAAGAAAATGTGGAAGTACAGAGTGAGTGAAACTGGGATCCTCTGAAGAATTCCCAGTCTAGAAGGTGGGTGGGGGTGCGAGTTGGGTAAAGTATGTTCAGAAATAACAATAGAAGACTAGAAGCAAAATGGATAATTATTACGTGAATACAGAAAGGCTAAAATCTCGCAGGAGATAAGCCAAGATTCATATCAGAATGTATGCATCGCTGGCTAAGAAGGAGCTGAGGTTGGCACTGGAGTTTCTCTTAAGGCTCCAGGTACGGGGTGTCCCTGGACTGGGAGGACAGACCCCATGTAGGGGCCATAGGGTTCCGGCTGTTAGGTCTTCAGAGGCCCCGTGAGTTTAGACAAACTCACCTATCTTTTGGAGGGAGGCCCTGGAAAGTCATCACGGGTTCCTTTCTTCCTTTTTGTGTCCTTCCCCTAGTTCCCTACCTCTTGACTTCCATCTCTGGACACTTCCTTTTTCCCTAAATTGGCTGTTGACGGGGACATTGTCTTCATAGCTCCCCCTGGCCCTGATGCTCACAAAGATAATTACCATACGTCCTCTGGCTCTAGGGTTTTTGCATGTATAACAAGTTCGGGGACCAGTTATGAAGGATTAAGAAGCTCTCTCGCCATCCTTGCTCCTGGAAGCAACCTTCAGCTGGCTTCTTAGAGTGGAGAGGTTCCTTCTCCTGGTCTTCATCCTTCAACGCTGAATGAGGATGGAATCAAGGCAGGGCAGAAGATGTGCGAAATATCCAATCAGGTAGAAACTCGTGTTCATTAGGGAAATTAGCGTGGCATAAAAAAGAACAGTTTTTTATGCTCAAACACATCTGGGTTTAAAGCTCACCTTTGCCCGCTTGTAGCTGTGGCCCCTGGTGCCACCTTGGTTCCTGGTGCCTACTTTGCCCCCAATTCTGCATCTGTGAAACGAGGATAACAACCTGCCCACCTCGAAGGATTCTTGCAAAAATTGAATACGGTAGAGGACATAAATCGCTTAGAAGTATCAAGTGTAATTAATGCCCATATTCTTCCTTCTCTTACCCCTAGCCTCCTTCTGTTCCTGTAAGTCTAGTGGCTGTGGCTGAGACTTCTGGGTCAGTGGAACAATAACTCAGAATTTCTAGGTCAACAGGAGATGTATGGGAGGCAGAAGAGCTGCTTTGTTGGTATTCTGGCGTAGGGTGGCGTGGGGAAGGCTTTCCAAACCATCCGAATCCCTTGCCAATACTTTTTGCAGCTGCCCAAGCCAGATACCAGGGAGTCATTCTTGAATTCTGGTCTCTCAGCACCCCTTGTCTATATTTCCAGGTTCTGTTACTTCTCCTTAACCTAGTCCAAATCCTAGGGTTCTCTCCATCTCCCCACATTATTTTATTTTATTGTTTTTAAAGATTTTATCTATTTGTTTGACAGAGATCACAAGTAGGCAGAGAGGCAGGCAGAGAGAGGAAGGGAAGCAGGCTCCCTGCTAAGCAGAAAGCCCGATGCAGCGATGCAGCAGGGCTTGATCCCAGGATGCTGAGATCATGACCTGAGCTGAAGGCAGATGCTTTAACCCACTAAGCCACCCAGGCGCCCCTCCCCGCATTATTTTAAATCACCACAGTCTCGTCCGCGGAAGTCCGCCAGGGCTTCTTGACGGGACTGCAGAACTGTTCCTCTTCTTAATTATCCAGCAGATAGAGCTCTTTCTACCTCCAAGTCTTAGCCAGCCACTCCTATGGGTAAGATCACTTACTGATTGCTCAGCTTCTCGCCAAGATAAAGTCTGAATTCCTTAGCGTGGCTTGGTTCTTGTTTGGAATCCTGCCCACGTTTTTAGCTTTCTCTCTCACCAGCCCTGCTGCCCTCCCCCCCCCCCCCCCCCCCCGCCCCACTGCCCCAGGTATGCTGGCTGCATTGAACTCTCTCCATAGATAAAGCAAAGTGACTGAAGGGTTCTTGATGTGGGACTTTAGTGCTAAGAGCAGGCCAGCCCTGGGCAAACCAGGATGGCCGTCACCCTAGTTTTGCCTTGGGTCTCCACATGGTCTATTGCTTTCTCCTGAATGCTTCCCCTCACCTGTCTTGACTCGTGTTTACTCCTCAGTACCACGCATCCTCTGTTTCTGCTTGGACATCCCCAGTGCAGCTCCAAATGGAGAGCTTTATTCATCCCCTCCCGAAGCTGCCACATGTCACAGCCTGTGCTCCTTGCAGCTCCTGCCCCATTTTAACGGCTGCATTGTCTCCCCCATGGTTATAGACCCATTAAGGGCAGGAAGTTTATTTTTCTCCTACCTGTATTCCCAGAGCCTAGCAGAGAGTCTGGCACTAGGTTGGAGTTCGATAAATTAAAGTTTTCTTGAATTAAGGAATATCAATATAAATTTATATTTCTCAGTTGTCATCTAATTCATATCATTGTGAGGGATGTTACAGATCGAATGCTGGTGTCCCCATGCAAATTCATATGTTGAACCCCTAGAGAACCTGTATATGGAGATGAGGCCACTAAGGAAGGAAGATAGGAAGGAAGGAAGGTAGGTTGGCCGTAAGGGTGGTCTCCTGATCAGATAGGATCTGTCCAGGGAAACCTCATTCTCTCTCTCTCTCTCTCTCTGCACAGGTACCAAGGAAAGGCCATGTCAGCACACAGAGAAAGGGCAACCCCAAAAGAGAGATGTCACCAGATGCCAACCCTGCCAACACCTTGATCTTGGACTTCCAGCCTCCAGAGCTGTAAGAAAATAAATGTCTGCTGTTTAAGCCCCCCAGCCTGTGGTGTTTGTTACAGCAGGCTGAGCAGGCTAAGACAGAGGCTCAGCCTAGTTCATGTAACTACGCTGTGACCAGTGATGGGTAAGGGTCACCTAGGGAACCATCCTGAGGCAGACAGTCTATTCCCAAATGGGCCCAATTATATTTCCCATCCCATGCGTTCTTCCAGAACCTCGAAGCTCTCCCACATCTGTGCCTGCTCTGCTTAAAACTGGATAAGCCTCTGTGGTCACCAGGGGATAATAGAGTGACACTGTAAGACTTGCAAGGTGAGGACAAAAGAGGTGATTCAGAGTCCACCTCGGGATGCTCATCCTTCGAACCCAGTCCCCATGCTACAAGAACCCCAGCCCCAAAGAAGAGGAACAGGGGGGCTCTGTCCTCAGCCCTGGCTGAACACCCAATGAAAGGCTCACATGCACTTCCCAGCCATGTCCCTACACCATCTTGGAACTGGATCTCCCAGCCCTCTGTCAGGAGGACCCAGAGGATGTTGTGTGGATCAGAGACAAGCTCTTCCCCAGGCCCCTCCCAAAATGCACATTTATGAGGGGAATAACAGACTGTTGTTGTAAGTAGCTAAGTTTTGGGGTGGTTTGTTTTATAGGAATCGATAACCCAAATACAGCTTTAAGACAAGAGGGAGCCACCTGTACTGGACAAGCCCTTCTTTCTCTTGATAGGTCCTTGCCCCAAAAGATTCTGGTTTATTTCAGAAGAGACAGGGACATACTCCAGGCTGGCCCATTCCAACAGAGGCCCATGATGTGACTGGCTCCTGACACCACCCAGGGGGTTCACTGGGACAAAGCAGCGCAGAATCCTAGAGCTGTAGGCCACCCCAGCAGCACAGCTGCCCCTGGCTCTGAGGGCTGAGCATGAGGCCTCTGCCTTCCAGAAGAAGAAATCTTAACTGAGAGTCATCTGCTCTGACCATGGGAAGAACACCAGGTCTCATCTGGGTGTGGGTTTTTTTTTTCTTCTCTGCCTCAGAGTTATGTGTTAGTATCACTTTGGATGGTGCAAACTAATCAATTATAAGTTGGTTGTGTTTTTGTCCTATACCAATCATTTGGGCATCCAAACCTCTGTATCCTGCACCATCTTTCCAGGCCACCATTTTGAACTCAAAAACAAGAGTGTGTATGTGTGATGTATATAATATATATGTAACATCTACATATATATTACATGTTACAGTATGGAACACAAGAACATGAATGTTCAACATTACGTGATAGACAAACATTTGGTGTTCTATCATTCTGCTTTACTTAGGTAAATAAGTATCCTAGAATGGTAACTTCTGAACCTTGAAATGGTTACATGAGTAGGTGGTTTAGTTTAGAAGATCTGACTAATATTTTTGCAGCCAAGTAACATTTTCTGTTTTCCAATGACTCTTTGAGGCCCATTTACATTGCTTGAACATTAATTCTAATTCCTTCTTTGGAAATTTTTACATTGCCCCCATTGTGCTGCTTATTCCTCACAGTCCCACTCATGTAATACACCTCCCACCCACTCCTGGCCACACTTGTTCCCAGGCTCCTTTGTTCTTGGACTTCTGGATGGGTTTGACCAAAGCCAAGTGCTGTTAGGAGTATAGAGGGGTGGGGAGAGAGAGGGCTTGGGTCTTCGCCCTCTTCCTTCCCTGCTAGGCCTCATTATCCACAGTGACTGTGTTCTTCCACCACAGAGCATACAGCCTGTTGGGCGGCCCCTCACCTGTGGCTACAGCTCTCACTGGGTTCTGGGAACAACAGGCCCTTTCCTCTCTGCCTCTTCAGGCCACAGGCTGACAAAGGCTTCCACTGTCACCAGTTCCTAGGTGGTTCACCATCTCATCTTGATTCTCTTAACACCCCCTTCAGTGTTGTTTGTAGGTTGAATTGTGTCCCACTCCCCCCAACCTCCCACCCAAATTCCTATATTGAAGTCTTAACCCCAGGACCTCGGAATCAGACTGTCTTTGGAGCTAGGGTCTTCAAAGAGGTAATTAAGGTTAAATGAGGTCATATGGGCAGGCCCTAATCTGATCTGACGTGTATCCTTGTAGTAAGAGGAGATGAGGACACAGATCACCCAGAACAAAGACCATATGAAGACAGGAGGAGAGGGTGGCCACCCACAAGCCAAGGAGAGAGGCCTCAGAAGTAACCAACACTGCCAACATCTTGACCTTAAAGTTCCCAGCCTCCAGAGCTGTGAGAAAATAAATGTCTGTTGTTTGTAATCCACCCATCTACGGTATTTTCGTTATAGCAGCTGGACCAGATGAAGGGAGGGGTACTGGGTGATGGCAGCTCCAGCCAACGAGACACCATGGTAAACAGCCCCCCATTAAACAGCTCAACTAGCCTTGGAAGTCGGCTGTCTGCACCTTTCTGGGACCCGGCCCCGTACACCCAATATTACCACTGTTGCTATCCTGGTCCCTTTATCAACCCCATGGTACCTATCCTCACATTTGTATCTAAGTTTGTAACCATGTCAGCACTTCTACCATGAACACCTTCTACTGAAATACTGTAGGACTCCCTTTCCCAAGCAGGTACCTAAGCTGAAAGTTTCTAATAGAGGACCCAAGTAACATCTCTCCAATGTGTAGAGCACCTTGTCATGTCAACCAAAATCCTTTCACATTTTTAAATTGACTTCGGCTCTGGAGCCTGGCTGGGTAATGCCTGAAGCCCAGGGTGCCTCTGAAGAGGTTGCATGAGGACCTTTGTGTCCGCTTCAGTGGCCTGGAGCCCTGCCCACCGGTGAGGAGACCAGGCAAGATGAGCAGGAACTCGGAGAGTGGTGCTGGGTTCTGCACTTAGGGATATCTAGGGAGGAAAAAGAGATCATTCCAGCGACAGCCCCAAAAACAGCAGACAGGAAGCTATATAACTAAACTTATTTTAATGATGCAAGACAGCTTTCTCAAATCATAGGGCTGGATGGGATTTACGGAGACCTCCCAACATCACAAACCCCTAACCCCCATGCAATCTTCACCTTGAGCTAAGAATCAGTCTGTTAACCTCCAAAGTGCTCTCACAACCGTAATTTCATGTGAACCTCAAGGAAATTCCACCAGTCAAGTAGGGAACTATTAGCATCTCTGTTTTACAAATCAACGAAACTGGAGAGCAGGCCAGGCCAGTTTACTTGCCAGCCTGAGTTCACAGAGCAGAAAGGCGGTCAGAGCCATGCCTGGAGACACAAGGCTCTCAGGCCAGGCGAGCTCTGGGAGAGCTCCCGTGTTTTACACTCACTACTAATCTGTGCATGCACACATTCGCTCTAAAAAGGCAAATGTCACAGGTTGACATTCCAACCAAAACTCACAGTGAGAAAGGATTTCTCCGGGACATCTGGCCGTGAGCGGGCAAGGGAAGAGGGGAAGGAGGAGAGAACAAGAGAAAGCAAGAACACGAGCTGAGCCTGCTGGGAGCACGAGCGACGGATTCTCACGAGGTCCCTCTTATGTTGGCCCCTACTGTGCAGAGAGTCAGAAGGAGACAGGGCACATGTACAGAACCTGTCACCCGCCCTGAACACAATCCCCGCCCCACGACTCCATATCCAGCCGGCTTGTCCCGGCCATCAGAACACTTGTCACATCTCTCTCATGCTCTGCTGGGTACATTTGCCACACACAGGGTTTCTGTTAATCTGCGGAAATCCTACCTGAGACTTTCACTGAATCAGAAACTGCTTCAGCCAATGACTGCTGTCTCCTGTCCTCTCGGCCAGGGAACAGGGTCCCTCGTTAGTCCACAAAGGTGCCCCACAATCTTGCCTCACATACTCTATTCCTTCTCTAAATCTAACCTGTCCTTCGAGATCTTCCTTCTCCAGGAAGCTGGAGTGTCTTGACCATCAGGGAATTCTTTCTTTCTTTCTTCCTTTTTTTATTTTTAAAAGAATTTATTTATTTATTTATTTATTTATTTGAGAGAGAGATTGCAAGCCGGGAAGAGGCAGAGAGACAGAGGGAGGAGCAGACTCCCCGCTGAGCAGGGAGCCCCTGTGGGACTCAATCGCAGGACTCTGGGATCAGGACCTGAGCCAAAGGCAGACACTTCACTGACTGAGCCACCCAGGTGCCGAACCCTCAGGGATTTCTGCCTCAGCTGGACTCTTGCAGCCATTATTAGCGAGACCTCTGACTTCCCATTCCCATGTTCTTGGACATTTGTATTCACTCCTGGCCGTAATTATTTGTCCCCAGACAAGTATGCAAACTCCCTGAGAGCAAAGCTGGCCTCTGACACTTCAGTGAATCTATGGGTGTCTGCCTGTACATGCTCGCTGATGATTTTTCTGGGGAAAAGTTAGGCAAAGCTGGGATTAAATGTAGCAAGTTGTTAGAATTGGAGAGGAAAAAGGGCAGGAAATGGGAGCAAATAATCTTCCCTCCTTTGAAGCTTCCAGTGTAAGTTTTAAGACCAACTAGGGTAAGCATTTTCGGTGTTGTTCTAAGATCAACGTAAGGTAAGAGAACAAATAGAGGTGTTCCTTTGTGCTATTTTAGTAACAATGAAAACAGAATAATACCTGCTGAATGAAGAAAAGGCCTAGCTCTCTGGGATACAAGAATGGGCTAGTCACACCTCACCTGTAACAGTTTTGAATTTAATCCTATTACTTTGCAAAGCTGATTTATCACTGCATTTGAGGAACCCCTTTCTCCTAGTCCCCCTGGGTGGTGGGGGGAAGTTCACATGCTGAGGCAGGCTCCTCTCAAGCTCTCCTTCTTTTAGCCAAGGCAGGTTGCAGGGATTGGCCCCCAACCCCTAGCGCCCCCCCCCCCCCGCCCCGCCAACTGCTCCCACCCTCCCCACCCCTCCCCCCACCCCGGGTAACTGTCACCACCTATTGAGACTGTTGGGTTTTTCTTCCCTCCAAGATCGGCTCTGGGAACATGGTCTCCTTACAACCACCCTTTCTTTCTGTCTCTGAAAACAAGTGCATAGACCCTCTTCATTTTAAGACTTTAATGTCCATCATCACAAGAGAAAAAATAAGATTTAAGGGGAAAACATGTGGAAGTTACCTAAAGGATATAAATCTGACAGTCTTGGATCTTGATCTAAAGTATCTGATGATCTGGTTGAAATAACTGGGAATTTCTTTTATACCAACACTGAGTATGAGATAATAGAAAAGCACATATTGGTCTCGGTCCCATGTTCCCAGCACAGAGCTCAAACCCTTGTAATTTCCTGAGTGATAAGAGCACTTAGGAGCATCTCTTGTCCTGTTGAGGTGACTCTGGACGGGCTCCTAGATGGGGGCTGGTTACCAGAAAGACCAAGTCCTGATTAGAAGCTTAGAATTTTCAGTCCCACTCACTGTCCTCTGGAGGGGGGAGGAGGGGCTAGAAGTGGATTTAATAATTGATCATGCCTCCATGAGGGAGCCTCTGCATACAGCTCCATAGGATGGAGTCGCTCTTACAGTGTTGTTATAAATTATCTCTATTTCTGTGCAGGTCCACCTGCTATAGCTTTTCCTCACCCTGTTCCCGTGAAGAGAGATGGAATCAGCTACAGATCTTTCTCAACTTACGATGGGGTTATGTCCCGATGAAGACATCATGAGTGGAAAATACTGTAAGTCGAAAAAAGCATCAAAACACCTACTCTGCTGACCGTTCTGGCGCGGCCTGGCCTACCTTAGACACGCTCAGAACACTCGCACTGGCATGGAACCCAAAGCCTGTTTTGTTTGTTTGTTTTTAATAAAGATTTTATTTATTTATTTGACAGAAATCACAAGTAGGCAGAGAGGCAGGCGGGGTGGGGGGTGGAGAGCAGACTCCCCGATGAGCAGAGAGCCCGATTTGGGGCTTGATCCCAGAACCCTGGGATCATGACCTGAGCTGAAGGCACAGGCTTAACCCACTGAGCCACCCAGGCGCCCCCACAAAGCCCGTTTTATGATAAAGTGTGGCATAGCTCCTGTAATGTACTGAATACTGCACTGAAAGTGAGACCCAGATGGTTGCTAAGTATTTCAGTTGCTTATCCTGGTGACTGCGGGGCTGACTGCCGGCCCTGACCTGCACCACAAGAGTGTCACACTGCATGTCGCTAGCCTGGGAGAAGCTCAAAGTCCAAAACTCATTGTATGGTTGCTAACGAATGTGTGTTGCTTTTGCTCCACCACAAAGCTGAAAAAATCATAAGTCAAACTGTTGGAAGCCAGGGACCATCTATAATTTCAATATATTTTTCTCAGGGTGCCTGGGTGGCTCAGTCGGTTAAGCATCTGACTGGATTTCAGCTCAGGTCATGATCTCAGGGTTGTGGGATCGAGCCCTGTGTTGGGCTCCATGGTCAGCACAGAGTCTATTTGAGAGTCTTTCTCCGCTCCCCCACCCCCCGCTGCCCCTCACCCTGCTTATGTGCTCTCTAAACAAAATAAATAAAATCTTAAAAATAAATATATTTTTCTCACTGATTGAACTTACTGGGTTTTTTTTCTTTTAAAGATTTTATTTTTAAGTAATCTTTATACCCAACGTGGGGCTTGAACCTACAACCCCGAGGTCAAGAGTCGTGTGCTCTACCAACTGAGCCAGCCAGGGGCCCTCTTACTGTTCTTTTTCTAGATATTTACCCAATAATATCTCCAAGTCTTGTCAGCATGTCTTTAAATGGAAGGACATAGAAGAGAAATAGGAGGCCATCCTTTATACAACAGAATTCTCCAGGGTTCAGTTCTTGGCCCACCTCCTAGGCAATCAGTGCCCACGTCTTCAGTTGCTGGATTCTATCTCTCACCCCACTGTCCCTCCTGAGCTCTTGGCTCATAAACTTAGCTCTCTTCCGAATGCATATACTTGTGGTTCACAGGTACCTCACACCTAGCATGTCCTGCCTCATTTCCAGTCTCAGTGGTGGGTGGTGTGAGCGTGAACACGATTGCCCAACCCAGATACCCAGGAGTTACCATTCCTTGAGTGGAAGCTGCCCCCCTCCAGCCTGTAAGCACGCGGAAGGCAGGGACTGTATCTTGTTATGGTTGTATCCCTAGCATCCACTCTTGCACCGTAAAATACTTGTGGGCTAGATGAATAAACATGCCAGTAATTCCTCCTCTTTCATTTTAGGGCAGCGGCTGAAACCACTTTGCAAGTGGATATTGAATCGGGGATAGAAAACTCCTATCTTCAGGCTGGATGGTCATTTTATCGGGCACAGAGGAGTGAGAATGGGGAGAGGCTATTGAGGCTGAGTGTCCCAAGAAAGAGTAGGACCCTGCAGGAGGCGAAGGAAAACCCAAGAAGGGCTGTCACCCAGGAACAACATATGGATACCAGCTTGAATATATCCCTGTGTCTGTCACTCCCCAACTGAATTTTATTTTCTGGTTCTCCATGCACATTACTTGCAAAAATTTGCAAGCGATCAATGACACAAACAACACCATTGGATAAACCCAGGGATCACATAAGAGAATCAATTAGGTAAAGGAATATGTGGATACGGAAAGGAGAGAAATATAGTAACAATAATGATAGCCCCTATAGGGGCACCTGGGTGGCTCAGTGGGTTGGGCCACTGCCTTCAGCTCTGGTCATGATCTCAGAGTCCTGGGATCGAGTCCTGTGTCCGGCTCTCTGCTTCCCCAGGGGAGCCTGCTTCCCCCTCTCTCTTTGCCTGCCTCTCTGCCTACTTGTGATCTCTTTCTCTGTCAAATAAATAAATAAAAATATTTTAAAAATATATAAAGAAAATGATAGCCCCTGTAGTGTGCCAATCACTCTTCTAGAAATATCACCCCCACCACCACTTGCAAATATCTGGCTACTGGGCATTGTGCTAAGTGTCATACATTTATTATTTCTTAAAAGCATTTTAAATTAATTAATTCATTTTTATTTATAGGCTCCATGTCCAGTGTGGAGCCCAACGCAGGGCTTGAACTCATGAACAAGATCAAGACCTGAACGGAGATCAAGTCGGATGCTTAGCCAATTGAGCCACTCGGGTGATATTTATTATTTCATGTAATCGTCTCGAGCCTGTGATATGGTAAAGAACAGTAAAGAAGGTGATAATCTTTACTTTGTAGGAGATCTTACCCACCTCCCCCCTTTTAAAAATTCACCCTCAACACTTCAATACACTCAGTTCAAGAATAACATGGTAATACTATGTATAAATATGGAATACTGTGTTTGCAAATCGTAAGATCAGAAGTGTTTGTTTGGGTGCCTGGGTGGCTCAGTTGCTTAACTGTCTGGGAGTCTTGGGATTGAGCCCCATATCGGGCTCCCTGCTCAGCGGGGAGCCTGTTTCTCTCTCTCCCTCTGAGGGTCCCCCTGCTTGTTCTCTCTGTCAAAAAAAAAAAAAAAAAGACTTGTTTGTTTTAGTCATATAAACACAACTTCAACTCATTCCTATAAATTGCCTCAGCCTAGGATGGGGACTGAGCCATAAGTAAGGGTCATTGGTGGGGATGAAGGCTCAGAGGATAGAAAAGGTGGCTGAGGAGTGCCCACCTAGAGGGGTTTCCTTCTGGGAAGAAAGTCTGCAAGGGATGACTGCTCATCCTGGCTTCCACTCAGCGTTCGCTTAACCTCTAGGATGGAGCTGCTGCCTGGATTTTTCCATCTAGGATTCTGTGAGGAGGATCCCTGCTGTCCTCTTGTCTGCTTGGGATTCCAGATTGCTGCGCACACCCATGTGGTCCACACTGCTTTGGTCAACACTGTGGAGGGGGTGTTCCCCTGCTCACTCTGCTTCCATGAGACACAGAGGGAAGCTGTTAGGGAGAAATCAACAGAGTTTTAAAGAAGACACAGGCCTGTCTTTGCGGTTGGTTTATCTTTTTTTTTTTTTTTAAGATTTTATTTATTTATTTGACAGAGATCACAAGCAGATGGAGAGGCAGGCAGAGAGAGAGAGAGAGGGAAGCAGGCTCCCCGCTGAGCAGAGAGCCCGATGAGGGACTCGATCCCAGGACCCTGAGACCATGACCCGAGCCGAAGGCAGCGGCTTAACCCACTGAGCCACCCAGGCGCCCCGGTTGGTTTATCTTTTAAGTTACCTCGGGGTCAAGCTGTGAGCTGTGGAGGAAGGCTAAGCAACCCCAGGCAGGGTTTGGAAATTTCAATCCAAGACTGTATGACAGCACCCTTCGGCCTCCCAAGTGAAGTAAGGTAGGGATGTGTTGCAAAATGTACACAGGCCATAGAGTTCCAATGGTTATTTGTCAGCAATGATGGTGAACTTGAATTGCAAAACAGCCATGTATTAGAGAACTGGCTTCTACTGTAGTTTGTGGTGAAAAACTATATTGTTAAATGTTATACACACACCCATTTACTTATTTATATGTACTTATTTAGCAAGCCCTAGGCCCAAAGCAGGGCTTGAACTCACAACCCTGAGATCAAGAAACCCATGCTCTACGTACTGAGCCAGCTAGGCAGCCCACATACATATATTTTTAAAACCCCAGTAGTAGGGGCACCTGGGTGGCTCAGAGGGTTAAAGCCTCTGCCTTCAGCTCAGGTCATGATCCCAGGACCCTGGGATCGAGCCCCGCATCGGGCTCTCTGCTCGACAGGCAGCCTGCTTCCTCCACTCTCTCTGCTTGCCTCTCGGCCTACTTGTGATCTCTGCCTGTCAAATAAATAAATAAAATATTAAAAAAAAAAAAAACCCAGTAGTAGCAGTGATTAAATCTCTGTCATAAATAATATGTAGATAACTAATAATACTCCAGAACTCACAAACACGGTTCCTCTCTTCTGGCTGATCCCAAAGAGAAGCCAATTTATGTCAGATATTTTGTATGTAACTCTTAAGAGCAGGTAGGCATTATGTCGCCATCTAAACATTCAGCGAAAGAGAAGCAGGTCGAGTCACTCCTGTTGGAAATGCCAGGGTAATTTATTACGCATAGCATCATATAACAAGAGATAACAAGACAGAACAAGAAAACTATGCTCTCTTAGAGGCAAAAGATAAATGCAAAGACTCTAAGTAGTGGTCCTGCCTGAGAGTTCACTCTGCCCCCAGGATTCTCAGCCGGCAGGCCCTTTCTTCTCTTAGGTATCAAAAAGTAACAGCAACCAATATTGTAATTAGCAAGCGATGGAGTACAGGAGGCAAGGAATTGGCAGCATGGAGTTCAACACACACTCGCTGTCCAGGCAAGCGTGGGATTATAGAACCTAACAAGGATGAGGAGTGAATGCATGAACTATGGGCAGGCACAAGAGTGTACCGAGACCAAGCAGGAAAAAAAAAAATATGTGGCTCACACTTCAATATACAGCTATGGATGCAACCATTTTTCATACCATGGAAAGCACAAAAGAAAGAAAAGACAGAGAAAGGTAAAGAAAACTGAGGGGAAGCAAGAGTAAAAGCAAGAAAGAGAAGCTTAGGGGTGCCTAGGTGGCTTAGTGGGTTAAAGCCTCTGCCTTCAGCTCAGGTCATGATCTCAGGGTGCTAGGATGGAGCCCCGCATCGCATCAGGCTCTCTGCTCAGTGGGGAGGCTGCTTCCTCCTCTCTCTCTGCCTGCCTCTCTGCCTACTAGTGATCTCTGTCAAATAAATAAATAAAATCTTTAAAAAAAAAGAAAGAAAGGAAGGAAGGAAGGAAGGAAGGAAGGAAGGAAGAAAGAAAGAAAGAAAGAAAGAAAGAAAGAAAGAAAGAAAGGAAGGAAGGAAGGAAGAAAGAAAGGAAGAAAGAAAGAAAGGCTTATTCCATAGGCTGGAGCCTCCTGCCAAGCACCCCCACCCCCTGCCCCCCACCAACCCCTACCCTGGCTGCCTGCAGCTTCTTACCTCCTCGCTCTCCTGTTGCCTCAGGTGCTGATCTCCTGGGATTTTGATCTAGCCTAATTGGGATTTTGATCTAGCCCAATGTTATTACCCCCCATACTAGCTACAATTTACCGAATGCTTCTTTGAGCCTGGCACTAACCTAAATGCTTTACAGCCCTCCTCCCAACCCTGTGAGGTTAGTATCATTCCTAACTCCCTTTTATAGATGAGGAGACAGAACCTCCCAGGGGTTAATAAATGGCCCAAATCACAATCCTGCAAGGGAGTTATCATTAGTCCCATTTCACAGATGAAGAAATGGAGGCTCCAAAAGGTTTAGTAACTTATTCCAAGTCACACCATTTAGTTAAAAGAGGGCAAGTCTGTCCGATGGCAAAGCCCACGTTCTTTCTTACTCTGCATTCCAGATGGAATTCTTGGGAATTTCACTGCCTGAGCTAAATGATGAAAAATCTCTCCTATAGACATTTCTAGTTCTGCACATCCAAACCAAATAGATGTTATAAAACAAATACCTGGGGAAGTCATCAGAATTTAAGAAACCTACTAAAGATTGCCCGCAGGAAACCAAGCATACATTTGTTTCATAAATAATCTTGTTAGAATTGACTGTATTTTCTAAAGCTCCAAGAAAAAGATAGACAGAAACCAGTTTTGATTGATTGATCATCAGAACTCACAAGTGTGATGGATTCTTTCTGGCATTCTATGGAAAGTCACATTAACCACAGCTGTGTCCCTCAGGTATCAGAAGAGATCAGGGAGAGGACGGGTAAGGGACTGTGGGGTCCCACAAATCCAAACTGTAGCCTGGAATGGACTTTTAAGATATTGTAATCCCAACTCTCATTTCTTTCTTCTTCTTCATCTTCTTCTTCTTCTTCTTTTTTAAAGAGAGAGACACAGAGAGAGAGAGAACACAAGCAGGGAGAGTGGGAGAAGGAGAAGCAGGCTTCCCGTTGAGCAGGAAGCCCAATGTGTGGGGCTTGATCCCAGGAACCTGGGATCATGACCTGAGCCAAAGGCAGTCACTTAACCAACTGAGCCACCCAGGTGCCCCGCAACTCTCACTTCATAAATGGGAAAATGAAGAAGGTGGATTGACTGCTAGTTAATTGTAGAGCAGAGGCCAGAACTCTGGGTTGCCCGATTCTTAAACCAAGTTCTTCCCATGACAAAAATCAGGTATCACTTTGGGGCACATTCTTTTTTCCTCTTCTTCTGACTCAGAGAGGGGAAAATAGAAAAAGGTGAGAAAGCTTGCAGAAGCATTTAAAAAACCAGAGCACTAAGAATCAAGTTATCTTGGAAGGTGTTGAAGAAGGTTAAGTGCAGAGGCTGGAATTCACAGAGCACAGAAAAAGGTACGGTCTTATCAAAAGAAGTTAGAGCAGGGGCACCTGGGAGGCTCAGTGGGTTAAGCCTCTGCCTTTGGCTCAGGTCATGATCTCAGGGTCCTGGGAGCGAGCGCCTCTCTGCCTACTCATTCATGATCTCTGTCTATCAAATAAATAAAATCTTAAAAATAAAAAAAAGCAGTTAGAGTAAACAGGCAATCTGAGACTCTTGTTACTTGTATTTAGGTAAATGCTGTGAAAAGGCAAGTTTTTTGACATCCGAGGCCAAATCAGAACCTAGAAAGTGACGACTTCTCCTCTCCAAGTAACAGCTGAATGTGAGATAAAGGGATTTCAGGTTGGGGCGCCTGGGTGGCTCAGTGGGTTAAAGCCTCTGCCTTCAGCTCAGATCATGATCCCAGGGTCCTGGGATCAAGCCCCGCATCCTGGGATCAAGCCCCGCATCGGGCTTTCTGCTAGGTGGGGAGCCTTCTTCCTCCTCTCTCTCTCTCTCTGCCTGGCTCTCTGCCTACTTGTGATCTCTGTCAAGTAAATAAATAAAATCTTTAAAAAAAAAAAAGGATTTCAGGTTTTATACTTAACTTGGTAGGAAGAAGAAAAAAGGAAAAATTATATTGGGCTTTTCTGCTCGGTGGGGAGCCTGCTTCCTCCTCTCTCTCTCTCTCTGCCTACTTGTGATCTCTGTCAAATAAATAAATAAAATCTTTAAAAAAAAAGGGATTTCAGGTTTTATACTTAACTTGGTAGGAAGAAGAAAAAAGGAAAAATTATAGGAAACAAGATGTCGACTGGGGTCCTCGGAATGTACCTTCACGGCCCAGGAAGTCCAAAGCCCACCCTTGGGTTTTTATGAATGGTCCTGGGGAGTTTTGTTTTTCTGGGCTTCAAGACTTTTGAGATCTTGCTTTCATGAGGAAATTGAGAATTTACTGTAGAGATGGAAGGCAGGGTTGACACCCCAGCAACAGCAAATAAATTCAATCGGAATAGATCCTGGCCCTGCTCCCCTACCTCCCTGAGCTTCTCTCCTGGCTGGCTCTCTCTCTACCACCTCTCTGCAGTGCCCCCCCACCCCCCTTCCCTTGCGGGAGCAGAAACAAACTTCCTCTAATCTCCTGCAGAGCAGGTTTTCACGCCCCTCTGAAGTCCAGGTGTCTGTAGCATCCAAGCCCTCAAGGTGGCATCCCTCCCCACAAACTCATCAAGAAGGCTTTTCCCCCAAGGAGACAGCTCAATCCTTCCCCTTCCCAAACAGGCACTGCGGGTCTGGCTGTTAAGATTAAAACAAAACAAAACAAAACAGAAAACAAAACAAAACAAAAACCCATGTCTTTATACACGACAGGAAAATTTCTTAAGTTTAATTACGATAGCAGTACTCACTATACTGTGGTAGTGTTGCTATTTTTTGTTTTGTTCAGTATGGAATTTTATTATCATAACTAATTGTAATGGACATTTCTTAATATTTATCTAATTTTTAATAATCGGTCTTCAAAATCAGAAAGCATTAGTGATCAGATCTAGGCTTTCTTTGCATCTTCTATCAGTGATTCCCATAAAAGGTGGGTAAATGAAGCAGCTGTAAAGAGGCAGCTTTAGAATTGAAAGCCTTGGGGCACCTGGGTGGCTCAGTGGGGTTAAAGCGTTTGCCTTTGGCTCGTGTCATGGTCCCAGGGTCCTGGGATCAAGCCCCACGTTGGGCTCTATGTTCGGTGGGGAGCCTGCTTCCTCCTCTCTCTCTGTCTACTTGTGATCTCTCTCTGTCAAATAAATAAATTAAGAAAAAAAAAGAATTGAAAGCCTTAAGAGGAAACCAGGTGCCCTTTGGGTCTTGAAAACTCAAGGCCATTAAATAATAGAAAACATCACAAGCTCACTATTTGGGTTCGAAATTGTTTCCCTAAGCAGGTTTCTCTTTTCGGAGGCGTCACTCATATTTGAAAGCTGTAAGTCATGGTAGGCAAAAAGTGAATTAGGTGGGTCTCACTGGCCTGATAGCCACAGTCCTGGAGAGAGGGCTCAAGGGATAGTCTCTGTACTCTTAACTCTCCTGTGCTTTTTTTCTGTTCCAATCCTTCCACTTTACGAAGCTCTACCTTCTCCAAGCTCCCAAATATTTTCTCCTTACAGGGGCAAGGAATACTCAGTGTTCAGGCCTCAGGACCTTCGGGGCAGCTTTGTCTGTCTGCCCTTCTTATCCTTACCTCAATCATGTGTTCGCCTGAGTGCTGCCTGCTCACCTGTTTCCCTAGTTCCTCCTGAAACCTTCAGGCGTATATATATCTAAATGATGTGAGAACTTTCTATCAAACGAACACAGGGTCCTCTCTGTTGCAACTGTATGGGGCTGTGTCCACCACCCTCTCTCTCTACAGTGGCAATTCTCAAGAGTTTTACTCCCTTCTCTCCTTCTGTCCTCTAACTGCCTTTCCTCAAAGCCCATTTCTTCTTCTCTCAGGTCCCCACATCCAGCATTCCCGAATTTTCACCACCACCTTGTATCACTGAGGAGGTTGCTTATTTCCTCTGAGTTGGGTGGCCCACAGTGAGGGCAAACTGCCACCATGTGAAGACTGGGCCTGAGCCACTCGTGGCCCAACATGGCCAGGCTTGTCACAAGGCAGCATTACCGACAGAGGGATCCTAGCACACTTCTGGAGGGTTCAATTATGCTATATGCTCCTGATCCAAACCGCTAAGCATAAATAGTGATGATAATTAGTATATTTACATAAACAACCCCAGTAGATCAATCCAAGTGCACACTTCATTTTATTAATGGGTTCATTGTTCTCCATCATTGTTTAATTTGCCCCAGTTTCCCTTCCAGCCTTACTGAGCACAACTTTTAAAGTTTAGAAATATAAAGAATTTTTTTTCACTTAAGCAAGCCCTTCTAAGTGTGTGACAGATGGTTAATGTCAAAAGCCCCTGGGGAAGGCTTCTGTTTAGCCTTTGATTTTGTTTTGTGTTCTCAGCCAGAGAAATGTTTGACTGTGCTGATAATTTGTAAGCATACATCAACCATCAACTTTTATCGTCCTTTAAATTCCCAGCTCTCCCCCGGATTTCTCTGCTACTCCTGGCCTAGTAGGGGCCAGGAAATCAGGCAGAAGCATGCCTAAATGGCCCGTGTGATAAGCCTCATAAAGTTATTCTGCTCAATTAATGGTTTTCACTGACAATTTTACTGTCTGTTTTAAGCGGCTCCATTCCCTTGGGCATCTGTACATATGTCTATGATAAGCCTCATCCAGTCCAACAAAATTGGCCCCTCAGAATACAGACTGCCCTATTTTTAAAAAAGCTCATTTTAAAAAAAGCTCTCTTTTTTTTTGAAACATAACACTTGAAAATACATTTAAACAGAAAGTAATAGAGCTTTAAAGCTGAGCTATAAAAGTGATTTATTCATGAGTACATACTTATTCCTCTCCCAACTGACATGCATTTTATATTAATTTTCCTTGAGTGTGTATCCTCAGCTTCTTTCTAGATCTTCACTGCGGAAACTACCTCTTTATTCCACCCTGATCCCTGTCTACTTTGCTCCAAAGACTCCCCTATGGGCTGAGAGGGAGCCCCCTGCAGGTACAGAATCACAGTCCGGAAAACTCCACCATGAAATAATAATGCTCCCTAGTCACCGACTTTATTAGGTAGTCAGTAAGCTTTTTTTTTTTTTTAATTAGGGTAAAACAAGTTCCTCACTCATTTTTCTGCAGTGACCTGAAATGCGCTTTTACAGTCATGCTCCACTGGTAGCAGGACAGCGAAGGAAGGTACACCTTTTCTCAGGTAAGTGGAACCTGCACTCTAGAGGTAAGTTTTTTTTTTTTTTTTTAAGATTTTATTTATTTGAGAGAGAGAGCATGAGCAGGGGGAGGGAGAGGGAGAAGCAGACTCCCCGCTGAGCAGGGAGCCCGATACAGGGATGCAGGACTCTATCTGAGGACCCCGGGAACGTGACCTGAGCTGAAGACAGGCACTTAACCCACTGAGACACCCAGGCGTCCCTATAGGTAAGTAATTTATATAAAGAAATTTCTATAGCGCATCCTTCCCCCCCACCCCTAAAGACTCATAGCAGAAGAAAAAACCAATGATAACAGTGTTCCCATTATATTGTCTACTTTTCAGAGCAGATTCATACACTTCAGTTCATCCAGTTTTTGTTTTTGTTTTTTTAACAGATAAGAGAAATAGAGACTTAGAGTCTCATGGGAATAAAAGGGAGCGCATAAGGAATATAGTCACTGATATTATGATAGTGTTGTGTGGTGACAGATGGTAGCTACACCTGAGGTGAGCATGGCATAATGTCTAGAGATGAGGAATCACGACGTCATGCACCTGAAACCAATGTAACACTGTGTGTCAACTATACTGAAATAAAAAATTAAAAAAAAATAGAGGCTTAGAGGGGTGCCTGGGTGGCTCAGTGGGTAAAGCCTCTGCCTTCTGCTTGGGTCATGATCTCAGGGTCCTGGGATCGAGCCCTGCATCAGGCTCTCTGCTCAGCAGGGAGCCTGCTTCCCTTCCTCTCTCTCTGCCTGCCTCTCTGCCTGCTTGTGATCTCTCTGTCTGTCAAATAAATACATAAAATCTTTAAAAAAAAATTAAAAATAGAGACTTAGAGAAATTAAGTAAAGGATGCCTTCAAGGTCACACAGCTTGTCAGTCAGAGACCAGAATTTAAAACCACCACTTGATGATTCCGGTTTTAAAAAAAACAACAACAAATTCTTTTTCACAAATAGGATTAGCAATCCAGCAATTTTCATAAATGTTACGGTGTGGAAGCTTTTATAAGCAATACTTACCAGTGACTGTGCTTTTCTTAGCTTAGATCTGTCCTGCAATTTATTTTTCTTATCATGTGATTGTCGGCTGAAATCTGATTTCATTTCATGTCTTTTCCTCCTGTAAATCAGAAATCATTGGAACATTAGAATCATTTTAAATTTGCACAGCTATTTGTCTGTTGGACTTCGCTGTTCCTGTGATTTAAATGATTGTTTTCACTCAACTGGAAATGAGCCAAATGTAGAGCACTAAAGAACTGGTTGAATCAACTCTCGCCCATCCACACAATGGAGACCTTTGAGCTATAAAAAGGAAAGCAGGGCATTTCTACATCCAACCATGGGGTGATATATTGTTATATCCAGGATATATTGTTGTATGAAAAAAAGGTGAATAAAATGGTATGTGTTGTGTACCACCATTTATTCCAGAAACAGATGTATTTGCTTAAAATTTTGTTAAATAGAAGGACTATACCATAATATCTCAAAAAATGGTTACCTATAAGTAGGCTTCCCATGTGATCCAATCAAGAACAAAGAACAATATGGAGGGGTAGGAACAGAAGCTAGACTCTCCAAATATACTTTGTTTTATATATTTGACTTTAGAACATTCTCAATGTTTCTCAAAATCATAAAATAAGACAAAGGAAGGAAATCCCTAAAATCTAAGAACAAAATGAAAGAAATAATCTTGTTTCTGGAGTTGGTAGCATTACTACACATGGAGGAATTACTTCATGAGACTTGAAACACAGTATTTGTCTGAATAATCTTAGTAGAATATGTCCTAAGGACAAAAACACAGGCAAAGAAATCTTAAACTGTTTTTAGTAATCCTATTGTTTGAATTAATATTAATATTGGTTTTCTAAAACTATCGTATATATTTGGATAAGGTAGGAATCAGCAGACTAGAACCCAGACGCCAACTTGGCCCAATGCCTGTTTTTGTAAATAAAGCTAAATTGGGACATCGTCATGCTTATTGTTTGCATATTGTTTTGGCTATTTTCAGGCTACAATTGCAGACTTGAGCAGTTGTGACAGAGACATGTCCCATAAAGCCTAACGTATTTTTGTCTGGCGCTCTCTAAAAAAGTTTGCCTTAGTAATGGATCTAGGCCATGGTCTTCAATAGCCACTAACATCACAAAAAAGGGAGACAACCAGAAATAAAGTGCCTTATGATGGAAGTACGTGATCTTATATACTCAAGCCTCTAGATCTGACCATGCGTATGGCCAAGTACAGGAGACAGAGAACATGTTAGGCTGCATGTTGGGAGTACAGTCAGCAAAATTCAGAATGTGAAAAGCTCTATAGGATACATGACCTGATTTCAGTAATAAACAAATTGCAAGGGGGGAAAAAAAAAAGAGGTAGGCCTATAGATCCAAAAAAGTTTTTTGTTTTTTTTTTTAAGATTTTATTTATTTATTTGATAGAGAGCACAAGTAGGAGGGAAAGGGAGAAGCAGATTCCCCACTGAGCAGGGAGCCTGGTGTGGGACTCCATCCTAGGACCCTGAGATCAGGACCTGAGCTGAATGCAGATGAGTAACTGACTGAGCTACCCAGATGACCCAGCAGATTTGTTTTAAAAATGAAATGAGTTAGCAGTTTTGAAATTATTTTCAGAATTTGTAAGTAAACATATAGTGTTTGTGTATATGTGTATACTTTATAATATATGTATATATTATGTATATTATGTATATACATATTACATATACAAATGTATATTATATATACATATATATAATTCATATGCAAGTTATATATGTACATATCTATTTTGATTATATATTATATGTACATATATAATTTGTAAAAATAAACATGAGAGCCAAGGTTCTCCTTGACAGAGAAGGAAGGTGAAAATATGAAAAAAGACCAGAATGAACTCTATGGGGCTAGACTGAAATCTGAAGTACTAACTATTAAAAGGAGCTGTAATGTTAAATCATTATAGCTACAAAATGCAAACAGATCCTGATGAACAGGGTAAATTTATCAATAATGGTTCCTTTACCTTCCAATGACGTTTTGCTTCTATGTATTGAAAAGCATTTGTATTTCACAGGAAATTCTATTTTCCTCTTTTCATATACCTAAGTGCCAGCAAGTTGTTTCCAACGGCAAGTAAACAGAGAAGAGCATAGAGCTTCTCACCCTTGCCCGATTTGCTCACTGGGGTCACAGTTGTCCAGGTAATTGAAGCGAATGATATCAGTTGGATGCTTGTCAGATGATCTCCAGGGTGGGAGCTCTTTCTCCCTTGGGTGGGTTTTCTTTCTCAAAGAGGAAGACGACCTGAAAGCGGACGCAGGGGACTGCTTTTCCTCTGCAGGACTGCTTGTAACTGACTGAATGTCGGCAATGGCAAACCCATCTTTTGGAGGTGTCTAGAAGAAGAAAACCAATTATTTCTGTTCTTAAAACAACGTAATAATTACAATAAAAAAATCATCATATCATCATCATTATATCTTCATCATTATCTTCGCTGCGACTGCAATGATAATGGTGACAATAATTACAGCAGCCACCAACCCAGGAGTCCTTGTCAGTGCCAGGTACTGTCTCAGGAAGTCGTCATGCATTATTTTATTGAACCTTCATTATAACTGTAAAAGGGAATACTTACTACTCGCATTTTACAGAAGAGGAAACTGAAGACGGGAAAAGCCAATGAACTCACCTACTACTACATTAAATGGTAAGACAGAGGGTCAGAATGTGAATCTAGGACTGTCTTACTTCAAGTCCTAGCTCTAACCCTCTCTATCCCGGACTGCCACCTCGTCTACCGCATCATTGTATAAGTTTTCCACAATTGCAGTTAATTAACTCAATAAAACATACACATTCCAAAAAATAGTACTCCATGCTTAATTATCTGTAGAACGTAGGGACAACTTTGACTATACACAGGTAGACTGTAGATTTTATCAGTTATCAAAATCTTAACTGCTCTCAAAGAATACTTTGGCTTTAATTTCCCAAATGGAAAGTCTATTTTCGTGTGTGAAATTCATAAGGTTTTTATGTGGTTGTAACCTAAGGGAAGCGGTAATGGTATGTAGAGAAGCCATTAAAGGCTTAATTTTTGTTCTTTAAGAGATTAGGGAAGCTTTGCGTGGTAAATTGGTTTGCTTGAATTGTTTGTGACAATTAAGAAATTCCCCAAACCCTTCAAGCAGAATCAGTTTCTTATCCTTGTTTCAACTGTTCTTTGTATATATTTCTGTTACAAAATAGCACTTAGTACTCAGTGCTGTAATTATGTATTTGTCTATGTCTAAGGCCACTAGACTCCGCTTCTTGAAAGCAGGGTTAGGATCATTATACTCAGTACCTAGCACATAACCATATTTAATAAATATTTACTAATTTAATGGATGATCGTAGTTTAGTAACTAATTAAGACATTTTCTTTATATAATTGATAGCTCATTATTGGTTTGGTATTCAATATTTTGTTCAGGTCTCATTTTAGAATGGACATTCATTCCAATTCTGAGCTTAGATTGAACAAAGACTTTGCTGAAGAAGGTCTAGTTTAATACTACTGGGAATAAATAGTACATGATAATAAAAAATTTCAGGGGGAAAATTTTAGGTATACGTGCTAGTAATTATATATAAATAAATATTATTTAGTCTGAAAAGTGACAAAATGCTTGATACTTTAACAAAACAGGATATAATGAAAACTGATGACTTTTCTGTATTAAACAAAATTTTTGTTCACTTCACCTAAAGTCTTTGAGAATTTTTAGAATTGTGAATGATGTCGAACTTTTGTTAAATGCTTTTTTCTGCATATTCTGAAATGATCATACATCTTTTCTTTTTTATTCTGTGAATTACATTGGTTAATTTTTTAATATTATGCCAACCTTACTCTCCATGGATACTTCCCACTTGGTCATCATGTATTATTCTTTCTTTGTATAGAACTTGATTTAATATGCTAATATTTTTAAAAGAGTTTTATGTCTGTGTTCATGAGGGATATTAATCTGGGGTTTTGTTTTGTTTTCTTATAAAGGGTCTAGCTGGTTTTGGTATAAAGGTAATGAGTTGGGAAATGTTCCCTCCTCTCCCATATTATGAAAGAGTTTATGTATAATTGATATTTCTTCCTTATGTGTGTGACAGAATTTGCTAATGAAGCTATCTGGGGGTGCCTGGGTGGCTCAGTGGGTTAAAGCCTCTGCTTTCTGCTCAGGTCACGATCCCAGGGTCCTGGCATCAAGCCCCACATCGGGCTCTCTGCTCAGCGGGGAGCCTGCTTCCTCCTCTCTCTCTCTCTCTCTGCCTGCCTCTCTGCCTGCTTGTGATCTCTGTCAAATAAATAAATAAAATATTTTTTTAAAAAAAGAAGCTAGGGGCGCCTGGGTGGCTCAATGGGTTGAGCCGCTGCCTTCGGCTCGGGTCGTGATCTCAGGGTCCTGGGATCGAGTCCCACATCAGGCTCTCTGCTCAGCGGGGAGCCTGCTTCCCTCTCTCTCTCTGCCTGCCTCTCTGTCTACTTGTGATCTCTGTCTGTCAAATAAATAAATAAAATCTTAAAAAAAAAAACACTTATAAAAAAAGAAGCTATCTGGGTCTGGAGTTTTGTGGAAAATTATGAATTTGATTTTTATTTTATTTTTTAAAGATTTTATTTATTTATTTGAGAGAGAGAGAGAATGAGAGAGGAGAAGGTCAGGGGCAGAAACAGACTCCCCATGGAGCTGGGAGCCCGATGTGGGACTCGATCCGGGGACTCCGGGATCATGACCCTAGCCGAAGGGAGTTGCTTAAAGAACTGAGCCACCCAGGCAGCTGTGAATTTGATTTTTAAATTGATAAAGATTTATTCATGTTTTCTATTTTCTAGTGAAACTGCTTTCCTAATCTGCATTTTTCGAGAATTGTCCATTTCCTCTAGGTATTTGAATTTAGTGACATAGACTTGTTCATAATACTCTCTCATTATTCTTCTTATGTTTACAGGATCTGCAGTGATGCCCCCTCTTTCATTCCTGTCACTAGTAATTTATGTTTTCTCTCTTTTTTCCTTCATCGCCCTATCTAGCAACTTAGGAATTTTAAGTTTTCAAAGAAGGAGCTTTGGTTTCACTGATTCTCTCTATTATTTGTTCAAATTTCATTGACTTTAGCTCTTTATTGTTCTATCTACTTTGGGTTCAACTTCCTCTTCTTTCTGTAGATGAAGTCTTTTTGAAATTATGCTGTTTGGAGTAGATATAGTATAGCCTGATAGATAGTTATAAAGATCATTCTTGTCCAGTCCTCTCATTTTAAGGTTGGGGAAACTAATATTAACCACAACCATTTGCTCATAAAATGCTTTCAAAAGCTCTGCTGGAGCACATGCCAGGTACAGGGTATTGAGGGAAAGGTTGCTAGAGAAGGTGCTTGAGTAATGGTAAATTATGCTTTAATCCAGGGGCTGCCTACGTTCACCATCACTGGAGCAATCTCACAGGGAATTACCCAAATTACTCAAGTATGTATAGTGCTGAGAGTTGACTTTTTAACCTTAGTCACCTGACTTTTATTAACCTTAGTCACATGACTCTTTAGTCTTTCTGACTTAGGTCTATTTTTTTTATTTTTAAAGATTTTATTTATTTCTTTGACACAGAGAGAGACAGTGAGAGAGGGAACACAAGCCAGGGGAAAGGGAGAAGGAGAAGCAAGCTTGCCGCTGAGCAGGGAGCCCAATGCGGGGCTTGATCCCAGGACTCTGGGGTCATGACCTGAGCTGAAGGCAGACGCCCAATGACCGAGCCACCTAGGCGCCCCAGGTCCTTTTTTAAAATAGAAAAACTAACATTTAATATAACAAAGTGTTCTCTAAAGAAATTTAATACTAAGCAAAGAGATGGCAACTTTCTTGGATCAGAACGATTCATTTTTAAATATAGTTATGCACATTTTATAGAAAAGAAGTACAGCTGAAGACAAAGCTTTCAAGTCAGTTTTATAAATACTCAAAACCTCTTTTTCTTCTACAGGTTGGTTAATTACTTTTCTCTTTTCTGCCCCAGAATGGCCCAAGCTTCAGCTTTGAATGCCATTCCCTGCCCCTAACTGAAAATGAGAGTCAAGAAAAGCCTTATTAAATTTTGCAAAGAAATCATAGCTATGGTAATTTTTAAAATAACTTTTTCCATCACTGCAGTTTATGTTTTTCTTTTTATTTTTTTTATTTATTTATTTTTTTTTTTAGATTTTATTTATTTATTTGACAGAGATCACAAGTAGGCAGAGAGGCAGGCAGAGAGAGAGGAGGAAGCAGGCTCCCCGCTGAGCAGAGAGCCCGATGCGGGGCTCGATCCCAGAACCCTGGGATCATGACCTGAGCCGAAGGCAGAGGCTTTAACCCACTGAGCCACCCAGGTGCCCCATGTTTTTCTTTTTAAAAGAAATCCTGTGGAGCACACCAATTACTGAAATCGGAAAGGCTAGTTTTACCATTGCAATTGTAACAACATTAATTATGCATAGTTTACTACTGTACTAAATGTAGATGGGTTCTACTTTAAAACAATAAAACTCAACCCAAATGAACAAGCTAGGAGTTGACTATTCATCTTTCAAAAAGATTCTTCAATTTTAAAAGGATTCACTGCCATTTTTTTCATAGAAAATGATACCCCTGTGGTTTTAAAAATCATTAAAAAAATTTAATTTACACATAATTTTTCAGGAACTCATCTATCATACAAAACGATGCACAGCTCCGCATGTGTATAGATCACACCATAAGGAAAAGGCTCATAAAAATTTCCCATGAGTTATCTAATTAACTGTGACTATAAGAAGGAACATAAACATTGGTTATAATGCAGAGAAAACAACTAGAAAAATTATTCTTGCATTATTTACTTTTTATCATTATATGTAAATGCTTTACATTGCTTAGTTTCTAGATTAAAAAGGACTTTAGTATACTCATTATTCCCTTCCAAAATTACAGATTTATTGGAAAACTTTTCTTTATAAATGATATAAAAATAACCTTTAGCTCACCTGGTAGAATCAGAAAATTCGAATTAATAAAGTAGAATTGGATGACCCATTGATAGCAAATACTACACAATACCCACGGAGTCCCAGGTCAGAATCGCCTGGCGTGGGAGTCAGAGATACGGAAATCTAGGAATCTGAACAGAGTGAGGAGCTCCATAGTCCTAACCTCCTGGGGAACCTCTGGTTTAGGAGAGTCTGATGAGGGTTCTTGACTAACATGGATGTCGCGGAAAAGGCTATCGAGTTCTCAGAAAAGGAGAATTTTGAAGTAATAGTGTATTTCCTTTGCTTACATTGCTTAGTTTCTAGATTAAAAAGAACTTTAGTACACTCATTATTCCACTCCCCAACTTTTAAGGTTTTTAGTCTTAGTTCTAGAATTTCTTTTTTTTTTTAAGTTTTTATTTAAACTCCAGTTAGCATACAGTATGATATTGATTTCAGGTGTACAATTTAGTGATTCAACACTTCCAAAGAAACCTGGTGCTCATCACAAGTGCTCTCCTTAATCCCTATCCCCTGTTTAACCCATTCTCGGGGCGGGGAGGGGGGCACCCCCGCCCTCGTACTCCTAAATAGCTGATACAAGTATGTTTGTTCCTTTTTGCCCCAAATTTACCTTTGGCTTGGTAACATGAAGTTCTTTTACCATCTGAATGTAGTGCTTCTTCCATATACCCTGCTCAAAGGGAGTTGGAGAGAAATTGATGTACCAGTTAAATCGTAAACATTTGAGCATCCAGAGCTGATCCAGCTCAGTTAAGTTCTTCCAGTGCCAGCTCACCTGGAAAAACAACAATTGGAAAGAAAAGAGAAACCCTACTCAGTCTTTGTGCCCATTTTCTCTAGGTCTTCAGCTGTCACCCTGGACCTGAGATAACTTTTTTGTTCTTTTCCTCCAAATCAACGCTTAAAAAGTTACCTATCTGAAGTGTTCCCTACCCAGGCAGAAGGATTTTCTTTAAATGTGAAATCACAGTTAGATTCAGAGTCAACTAATATTTACTGAGTACCTATTAACTAACCATCCCCCCTAAGGAGACAGGTGTTATTATTACTCTCATGCTGCAAATGAGAGGATTGTGGCTCAGAGAGACTTTGGAATTTCCCAGATGCTCATATGAGAGTTATATGAAGGTCACAGAAACTCAGATCTGCATATTCTTTACTCGTTTTTTGGTATGTTTCCATTTTCCCTCCATTCTTACGATTTAACTAAATAGAAATTTTATAAATAGAAAGTCAAGTGCTGGTATCATATGGTGTGTCCTCTATAGCCTTTAAGATTCCATAGAGCATAGATTATTTGCTCTGTACATTCCTTTCCCACAGCATTATGGTCATTCTCACAATCCAGATGGAGGTGACCCTATTATGTGCAGCAGTGTTTACAATAACTTACTCCAGATTTTGAACAAGTCTTGCTGAAAACTAGGGTCAAGTTCATATACAAAGTTCAGACAAGGGGTTCTGTGTCTTGGCTCTAAGAGTTGCAAAGATGACATCCAACTTTCCAATGCAAATTTCATCCTTGGAAAACTGGCTTCTTTTTCAACAGTAAGTAGATCATTAATAATTTTTGAGCATAAAAAAAATGAAAGAAAGAGGGGCGCCTGGGTGGCTCAGTGGGTTAAGCCTCTGCCTTCGGCTCAGGTCATGGTCTCGGGGTCCTGGGATCGAGCCCTGCATCGGGCTCTCTGCTCAGCGAGGAGCCTGCTTTCCCCTCTCTCTCTGCCTGCCTCTCTGCCTACTTGTGATCTCTCTCTCTCTCTGTGTCAAATAAATAAATAAATAAAATCTTTTAAAAAAAGAAAAAAAATGCAAGAAAGAAGAAAAGGCAGAAACTGTGATATACATCCATTTACCTGGCCCTCCCATTCTCCCTCCTTCCAGCTACCAAGTACAGAGTTCCATTATGTTTAGCATTGTTTTCTGTGCTGAAGAGGAGACATACAGGAGAGGGGAGGGCACAATTACAAGAAATAACAGGTTCAGGAACTGGAAGGACGAAAAAGGGTAGAGAATCTGACAGAGCCCCGCAGGCAGGAACAGAAATCACATCTACTTTGTTTAGCGCAGAAATGCAACAACATCGACCTTAATCCCCATATGGTTAATTAACTTAGAATTCAGTGGAGAGGCAAGGTTTCACAGGGAGGGGATGAGGAGAAGTTTCTCCATTTTCACTCTTTTTCTCATTTTCCTTACATCTTGTTGTGACATGGCTATTAAATTGTTTTGATTTCCCCCGGGGTAGTAGGTTTTTGTATGTTATGTTTTTGCTTTTTGGTGTTTTTTGTTTGTTTTAAGCAGATAGGAATGAGGAGGGTTGAAGGGTAGGTAGGAGCTTTCAAAATTATCAGCCTCCCCCCATATTTTTAAACTGTTCAAAGCTCATTTTAGTGCAATGATATGTTTAAATCTAGCTAAAGAACAATCGCCTGTGTCTTCCTCACAGGCAGGACTGGGAACAAATGTAATGCTGAGATCTTGCAAGACTGACATATGATACACATATATGATAGGATTAGTGATTTCAAATAACATTTCCCTCTAGTGATAACATTCTCATTGTGCGAAACTTGGAAAATTCCAAGAAGTTTCAAGAAAAACAATACCCATACCCCCACCAGTCAGATACGACTTTTATTAACCACCTGACATGGTTCTTTTCCGTCTTTTTTCTAAGCATGTATGAAAGCAAATTGGGAAATTCTATATATCCAATTTTAGATAGTGCTTTCTTCATTTCACATATTATAAGCATCTTTGGTCTTAGAAAACATGTTTTCTAATGGCCACACAATAATTCATCATATGGCTATATGATAGTCTTTTACTGTTGGACATTTAGAATGCTATGTTCTTTTAATGTTTCATTTTTGGAATAAGTAATACATGTACATTAATACTAAATTTAAAGATCCAAAGGGACATGCGGTAAAAGAAAGTCTCTCTCTTATCCCCATCCTCTGGTCACTTCTTCCCCTCACTGGATGTTACCACTGCTACAGCTTCTGTGTGTCATTCCAGGAACATTCCAGGCCTATATTAATAAATATGTATATATTCTTTTTTTCTTTCAAAAGTGGTAGAATAGTTCTACACCTTTGCTCTTTTCACTGATGATGGATCTTAAAGATTATTGCAATTTATTTAACAGTCCCCTAATGGTGGACCTTTCCATTGTTCCCAAACTTTAGCTATTACAAACAACGCTGCAATATTCTTATATAGATACTTTTTGCATATTGAGGCACTCTAAGAAGTGGAGCTGTTGGATCAAAGGGAATCTTCCTTTTTCCTTTTTTAAAAAAAGATTTTATTTATTTATTTGCAAGAAAGAGAGAGAGCACAAGTAGGGGGAGAGGAAGAGGGAGAAGCAGACTCCCTGCTGAGCAGGGAGCAAGACCGGTGACTTGATCCCAGGACCCTGGATCATGACCTGGGTTGAAGGCAGGCGCTTAACCAACTAAGCCACCCAGTTGGCCCTAAATTGTATTTTCTTTTAAGTCTTCAGGGTGTTAAAGAATACTCACAAAGGCCTCCTTCCCTATGTTTTCTTTGAGTACTTCAATGGTTTCCTTTGATTTCATACCAATCTTTTCTCTTACCAGAATTTTTTTCAGACAGCTGTCCAATTGTTCTAACACCATTTATTGAGTAACTCCTCTTTCCTACTGCATTCGTTTTCTTAATTTTAATTAAGACTAAAATTATGTTACACATCTGTGCAAGACTGGCATGTGATATATATGATCTGTGTAACGGGTAACAAATAATTTCCAGTGTTACCAGACTCTAGGAAAATTCTCAAAAAAATGGCTACCCATTTTATCTTAAAAGCAATTAAAGTACACTTTAACAGACTGTGGACTTAACTTGTAGGAAAACAATATAGTCAGCCCCTTTTCCAAGGCCAATGGAAGCGAGTCTACTTACTCTGAACTCTTTTAGTCTTTTTTTTTTTTTTTTAAGATTTTATTTATTTGAGAGACGGAGTGAGTGAGAGAGTGAGTGAGCATACGAACAGGGGTAGAGGGAGAAGGAGAGGGAGGCTAGCCTGCAGGGCTCGATCCCAGGACTCTGGGACCATGACCTGAGCCAAAGACAGACACTTAACCAACTGAGCCACCCAGGTGCCCCCAAAACTCTTTTAAGTCTTGTACTCTTTGTACATACCCCACTAGTACCTTATTTTGAGCTTTTCTGTTTATGAATAGCCTGCACTATACAATTTGCAATTGTTTTCTAGTTATATGCTTTATAATATAAGACTATTCTGCTCATGAACCATTTCATATGTATGTTTGTCTCTTCAACCAGCAAATACTATTCTGTGGACACTAATGATGTCTTACATCATTTAACATCTACTTTTGAGCAGTAAATACAGAGGCACAAAGAAGACGGGGGTTAATTCAAACTATATAGACTACACATACTGACCATCTCATCTATTTCTTGGTTTTGCATGTGTGCTTTTTTTCCCCCCTCATTTTAGAATTTTCTAGGCTATCACTACAAAACATGTATACAGATTCTTTGCCTTTTTACCTGTGCACAACGACAAAGGCTTCGTGGGTCCAGGAAAGAAAAGATGTATAGAGATAACACCCTTGGAAGCTTGGTAGTAAAATCCAGAGCTTCTGCTGGAATTTTTTCTTGAAGTTTTCGACAGCAGAACTTTTGCTGTGACAGGGAGCAACGTTCTAACAGGCCTGTCAAGATTCTTCTCCGTTGAGAGTCTGTCCATTTGTCAAACTGGAAAAAAGAAAGATTAAAAAAAACCTGCAGGTTCAGTTTGATACCAGAGATTCATTAGAGGAATGGATAAGAATGGTACAGAATTGAGTTTAATTATTTTATTCCTAATGAATAGCATGTATCTCTTCCCCTAATTAACAAATGTGATGTTTTGTTACTTACCTATTCTTCCTCACATATATACATGTGAGCATGTGCAAAACCTGAGTGTGTACACAAAAGTGTGTGCACTTGACCTCAGAATTTATAGTTACATAAGAAAAGTAAGTTGGGAGCTGGCCATATTCAAAAACTGAGAAAATATATACTTAAAAATATAATTTCAGGGACACCTGGGTGGCTCAGTCAGGTGGGCATCTGCCTTCTGCTCGGGTCATGATCCCAGGGTCCTAGGATTGAGCCTCACAGGGGAGCTTCCCTCTCCCCCTCCTTTGCAGCTCCCCCTGCTTGTGCTCTCATACTCTCTCTGTCAAATACATAAATATAACTTTCAAAAATGTATATATATATATTTATATATATAAAATTTCAAGAGAAGACACCTGGGCAGCTCCTCTCTGGCCAGACTTTCTGTACTGGCTCATAAGTGCCAAACTCCAGGACCAGAAACAAAGCTTTGCATTCACCATTGGAGATAAGGTATACTATCTAAATATCCCTGAGAAGGGTTAAAGTCCCACTAATGTATTAATGATTGATTGGAGAGAAAATGTCAATAGGAAGACATGGTGGGTGGGGATGGGGAGTGTCAGAGACAGGCAGGAGATGCCAGAGTAATCTGAGGGAGGGCAAACAAGAGCTTTGGTTACTTCACTATTTTCCCTAGAGATAACCCTAAACAGTCCCAACATCAATGACTGATCGAAGATAAGAATCTGAGGGCTGGCCAAAACCAAAAGAAAGGCTTTTCTGGGAACACCTACCGACTGAATGAGCCACTTTACTGGAGGTCTAAACCTCTCTTTTTTTTCTTAGCCCATTTTAGAGAAGAGAGATAGGAAAGTTTGGGGCGGCCTATATTTTATTATCTATATTGCATTTCGCATATAGATATTTTCTATGGTTGTCTCAAACTAGTGAGAATTTTATAAGAAATTTTAGTTGTAATCATAAAATACACTACCTTAAAAGGCATATAAAGCATGACAAGTCAACTTCATTATAGTCTTATGAAGTATTTTTTTTTTAACATTTTATTTATTTACTTAGAGAGGGCAAGAGGGAGAGAGAGAAAGTGCGTGAGCCAGGGGAGGGGCAGAGAAGCAGACTCTCCGATGAGTAGGGAGCCCGACGTTGGACTCGATTCCAGGACTCTGGGATCATGACCTGAGCCAAAGGTAGACGCTTAACCGCTGAGCCACCCAGGCACCCATGATGTATTTTTTTAATTGGCAAGAATACTTCTTGATAAAAACTATTCACTATTATATATATCTATTTCATGACCCAAGAATCTCAGTTTGCAAACTATAATTCAAGCGGGGGGAAGGATGTAGAGAGCAAGATGGAGTCACTCATGTCAAGACATAACTAGCCAAGGATGTTGTACCTGAGACCAGATATCACCAAAAACAACAGAGACTAGCAGTACTAAGGACTGATAATCATCAAGGCCCCAGGAACCTGAAGGAACCAAGAGCTGATAATCACTAGAAGGCCTGCAAAGGCTCAAGACTGATTAAACTCCTTTAAACAGAAGATTTCTGCAGCGAACTGTCAAAATCTGCAGACACCGACCCTTCCACTTCTGACCTTACAGACCGACGGCCTTACCTGATTGATCTCAAACATCATAGGGATTCTCCACTGCTTGAACATCATAGCAGTATGATCTGAGAGCTGACCTAGACTGGACCGAGACCTCACCTCAACTGCGTGCTCAGGGACTGACCTCGCATTTGGTTCGTTGCCCCTTGTATAGCTTCTCTGTTCTGTGACTTTGTATGGTACTTTGTTTTGTGTGACGTGTATGAAGCCACGTTAAATACGCAATGATAGGTCATTGTTTGAAATCCTGACATTGTGGAAAGATACAACTCATGTAGAGGCCTTGACAATGGGCTTGCAGCAGGGGAGAAAAAACCCAAAACCTCAACTTACAAATAAATGAATATAATCTATTCAAGTGTGAGTGTTCCCTGATTTCTCCTCTCCCTATTTCTGCACAACTCATATTTCCAGCTCTCCCAATGGGGGATTTCTTTCCTTTTGGGATGGACTATTAGAATGAAGAGAGAAGGCAGACCAGAATGACTGGGGCCAGGGGAAGAACTGTGCCAGAGAAACCACACTGATCTACAAAATAGCCAAGGGGAAAGTGTGAAAAGAGAGAAAAGCAGTTAGGTTTTTGGCTTGTTGGGACTTTAGGGGTTCAGAATGTCTTTGCCTTGACAGCAATTAAGAGACTGTGAGAGAAATGAGGAATGAAGGAAGGTATTAAAAAGAAAACCACAGTACAAAATGGAGTCACTTATGTTAAGGGCCCCATGTCAGCAAAGCAAGATTTAATACTAACCTAATTGTAATATTATATATCCCCCAGGAATATAACCTTTAACCAATCAATCTGGAATTTCCTGGTCAGCACTAGGAAATTTACCAACAGATCCCTTTCATTCCCCTTAGGAAAGCAATGTTACCTAAAACAATGTGTTCTTTGCTATTAATTTCCGTTGTTAGGCTCCCTCTCTATCTTTCAAAACCTTTCCTTTTCTGTAGCTCAATGGAGCTCCTTTCTATTTGCAAGATAGAATGCTACCTGATTCACAAATTGCTCAATATAGTCAATTTGATCTTTTAAATTACTCAAGTTGAATTTCTGTTGTTTAACAAAGGGAGACCTGAGAAGTACTGTCGAGTTTTAAACTGGTTCTGCTGTGATTTTTTTTTTTCTTTGAAACACGAAGTGAAAATTAGAATTCATTTTAAAATTGCTTTTAGGCAGCATTCTGTGGTTCTGTAGAAACTGAGCTACATGGGACCCAGGATGATTATGTTTACAAAAAAAATTTATATTATAATATTTATATTATATTATAATCACTGCAGGAAAGCAGAATAACCAAAAATGCCTAACCATAGGGGATCAGCTATGTAAACTGTAATATCTCAACATGATAAGAGGAAGTATGGCATTACAGATTGATGGTGGGTTTGGGAATGAAGCCATGGGAAATTTACTTACAGTATTCTATTATTTTTAATACTTTTTAGAAATAAATCACTAAATCCCAGCTCTACCATTACCAACCTCTCAATTTCCTCTTTTATACATTAAGAATAATTATATCTAAATTGTAGGGTTGTTGTGAGGATTAAAAAATAATATATGTATAAAATTCTTAATAAGGCAACACGCCTCATTGTAGACATGGTAGCTATCATTATAAAATATCAAAGTGATGTTAAGAATAATAAGTACGTGGGTTAAATCAGTGTGAAAAGAATATATATGCAAACAATTAAATTAAAAAGCATAAGATTATCATATCTGCAAATTTGCAAGGCTGGGAAGTACATTTAGAATGACTGAGGTTAGCTCATCTACTTTCACTGCTGCCCACAAGAAGAGAACGAGCTCAGGTTGAAGAACAGTGATTCAAAAGCAATATAAAAGAACCCTAGGATTATAAAATGCTGAAGAAATCTATAAAAGAAAACATTAAAACATTTCCCTCTAGAGATTAAAAAGATAATTACATTGGTTTCTCATTTATTTCCCTGATTACCATGGTCAAAAGGTAATTTATATCTGGTTTTGATAGGTGTTCTTTGCCTCGAGGGATTTTTCCATTCTAATTGTGTTTGTTTAGGCTAATAGAAAATGAATTTGCATTCCTTGAACTCCTTCCAAATGAAGGTGGGTTGATGACTCAGAAGAATGCTTCACAGTTGGGGAAAATCCCTTTGGAATTTAAAAGGTGCTAGAAATAATCCAAAGAGTAAATAATCCGTGAAAGAGTTAACTGTCCAGGAATTTGATAATCTCCTACATCCCTCCCATCACCTTTCAAGTAAAGATACCCATAACATAGTAGAAATCCAAGATGTGAGATTTCGGGAGTAGCTAGGACCATTCTTCCATCCTGGTATCACCTACAGTACCTCCCTTTACAGTTAGTTCCCTTTTTAAAATATTATTTATATCAATTGTATTATGCTATATTATATCACAATTATGATATGCTTATATTTTATAATTATTTTAATGCCTTTTTATAGAATTATAAAAATCCTGTGTTTGGAGTAGTTGCTCCAAGGATTTTTACTGCAGTTGCAGGAAGTGAGGGCAGTTGCTAGAGCCTTCCACTCCTCTCACACCGAATGGCAAGGAAAAGTTCACAGTGTGTGAGGCACAAGATAAAGAGGAAGGCCTGTTATTGTTTGCTTATTGGTTATTTATCTCAATCTGGTGGACTTTTTTTTTTTTAATGTTTTATTTATTTATTTGAGAGAGAGAGCAAGAGAGAGAAAGAAAGATTGAGAGAACCAGTTGGGGAGGGGCAGAGGGAGAAACAGGCTCCCTGCTGAGTAGCCCTATGCAGGGGGATGCCTCAGTGGCTCAGTTGGTTAAGTGTCTGCCTTTGGCTTAGGTCATGATCCCAGCGTTTTGGGATCATGACCTAAGCCAAAGGCAGACACTTAACCAACTGAGCCACCGGGGCATCCCTCTGGTTGAATTTCTGAGTCCTATTATCAAAAACTGATTTTCACATTAAAGCAAGAACACATTATTATTTAAAAGTTTCAAAAAGGTACGTATACAATTAAACATGAAAATCCTTTGTAACTGCTCTTCGCCATCCAATCTCATTCTATCTTCCTAGATGGACACTATGCACAATTTGAAGTTATCCATTTCTATGCATTAACATACACATACAGCCATCAATAAGGAAACAATTAAATAAATTAGAGTATAACCACCCTGTAGGATACTGTGCAGCAGTTTAAAAACACAAGAAAATATAGCCAGAAATGACCTGACATGTAGTAAACCCAGAGCATATTGTTTTCTCATTCTTTCATGGCATATTCATTTTCTCGTTCATTCCTTCATCATGGCTATACCACAATCTATTTACTCAATTTATTACTGACACCATTTACAGTACAAAAAAAAAAAAAAGAAAGAAAAGAAAAAAAACCCAACTTCAATATTCTGAAACATGCCTTTTCATGTCCTGTGTGAGTATTTCTCTAGTACGGATAAACAGAAGTGGAATTACAGGTTCAAAGGACATTTGCACTTAAAACTTCAACCAATCCCATCAAATTGTCTTTTAAGTCTTTACCACTTTATAGTCCCTCCAACTGTGTTTATGCATATCCTCCTACTCTCCAATAAATCCTTACTTACATTGGATATTATCTAGCTCCTCAATTTTTGTCATATAGGCAAAAGGAGAGGTTGGGAATCTCACCACCCAGGTGCCCTGTCCAGATTATTTAATACTAGATTTACTTCTAATACTAGATTGAGCTTTAAACTGATACTTGATCCCTACAATGAATAGCCCAAGTAATGCTAAGTGAAAAAAAAAAAAAAGAAAAGAAAAAAAAAGTCGTATACTTATTTTTCCTTTCTTTTCTTGGAAATGTATTTCTTATGTTATCAACCTCTTATGGTATTCCTGAAAATAAACAAAAAAACTAAAATGTGGGGGTTCCTGGGTGGTTCAGTCAGCTGAGCATCTGCCTTAGCTTGGGTCATGATCCTGGGGTCCTGGGATCCAGCCCCTTCTCCCTCTGCTCAGCGGGGAGACTACTTCTTCCTCTCCCTCTGACAGCCACTCCCCCAACCCCCCACCCCTGCTTGTGCTTGTGCTCTCTCTGTCAAATGAATCAATAAAATCATAAAAAAATTAAAAAATAATAAAAACTAAAACGGAGAGAGAAAATTAAATAAGGCAAATTGTAAATATGCCCCTCAAACAATTCACGTGGCATTTGTGCAGGTATATGGACTACCACACGATATAGTGACTTTAAAGTGTAATTTTGTTGTGGGACAAAAGAGAAAACCCAGTAATTATCACTTATTCATTTAGAAAGCATTTATTAAATGCCTGGTAGTGTCAAGGAATATGTAAAGGACAAGATATAAAACCATGTCTACCCCCTGTAAATGAGTCTGTTGGAGAAGAGAGATCTTTGCAAATGTATTTCTATTTGCTATGATAAAAGAAAAGAAAAGCAAGATCTTTTAAAAAATATAAAGACCTTGAATTTTTTACAGAATGGTATCAAAAATATTTAACAACTGGTAATGCCACCAACTAATGAAAAGTTGGTCACATCAAATACTGGCTGAACACTGGCCTTGGTTACATTAATAAGGGGTTTCCACTGATAGTATGTGGAATGACAGTATAAAAAAACACTTATTCTAAATAAGTCTCTTTTTAAGTTGTTAGTAACAGACATAAAGCTAGTTTAGAAATATAAATAGGATATGAGAAAAACTTAGCTAGATTTTAAATTTTTGATATTTTTAATTTCTTAATTTTTATCATATTTACAAAATATTGTTATTATTTTGACTAGGTAATACAGTCACATAATTTAAAAAAATCAAAAGGTCCAAAATGTTCTTCAGCTAAAGGAGTCCCTTCCACCCTGTTCCAGATTTACAGTTCTCCCTGGGGGAAACAAATGTTGTTGCCTTTTTTCTTGCGTATCCTTCCAGATATACTATGCAAATAATTTTTAAAAATTTACTTAAGTTAACAAATATCCTAGCCTGCAGTTTGTAGATCAACACAAAAAAGAACCAGTGACCAACTAAGACAATCAAGAACATTAAGAAACAGTATTTTTTGTTAATCTAGTGCAATGGACTAAATGTTTGTATCCCCCACCCCCCAACATACACACAAATTCATACATTGAAACCTAACCCACAAGATGGTGGTACTAGAAGGGGGTTGCTTTGGGAGGGAATTAGGTCACAAGGGTGAAGCCCTTATGAATGAGATTAGTATCCTTATAAGAGACCCCAGAGAGCTCCCTCCCTCCTGTTGCCATGTGAGGTTAGAGTGAAACAATGACCATCTATGAACCAGAAAGTGGTGTCCCCAGACACCAAATCTGCCCATGCCTTGATCTTGGACTTCCCAGCCTCTACAACTATGAAAAATAAATTTCTGTTGCTTATAAGCTACCCACTTACTTATCTACTTAGGTTTCTTAATTCTTGTTACGTGTAATCAACTTGAAATATCCCACCTTTAAAGCATACAGTCAATGCTTTTTCTTTAAGGGAACATCTCTGACCTGTATTATAACAGTGGACAAGATGCCCTCTCCAATGAGTTTCAGTAACGAAGTGTCTAGAGAAGTTTGGGATGCTATAACAAAATACATAGACTGGTTAGCTAGCTGTCGTCTCAGATCCAACTCACCTTTATAAACCCTACTTTGTGAGTATAGAACCCTAACTGATATGTACAGAGAGTACCAGTCGAATTTCTCAGTCAATGAGTGATCACTTATTACCTTATGTTCAAACTGAATTCTTTGTGCTCTATGATAATGTGACACAACATAATAGAGAAGTAACTATATTTTAAATGGTTACCCATTTTCCAAGCAGAGCTCTTCTTTCTTCAAATATCTACAATAAATAAAAAGAATGGCATGATTTTGTATTTCATGGTTCAAAATACCCATTATAAGAAAGATATCATTAAAGTATCAATAAATAAAAACTGACAGTCTTTTCATTATACCAATGAATATAAAAAGACAGATTTCACTCCTGAGAGGGTACTTTCCTTATTTTTAACTTGGAGACAGTATAGTTTTTCTCAATTTCTCCATGTGGAATAATTCATCTTAAAGAAAAAGCAATGCTTTTTTTTTTTAAGGGAAAGACATAAGAATGGAACTGTAAGGTGAAATCAGTTTTAGAATTTGAAAGGATATGAAAAAACGGACAAAAGAAAGAGAAAAATGGAGATCCTCTCTCAAATATCAATCATATGAGAACACGTGAAATTTATGAGTGAGCAGCTCTGTTTTTTATATTTCGTCACGTACACATATCGTGGGTGTACATGCACTGATATGTTTCCAGGATTAGAAATTTGTGTATGTGTACCTCTGGGCTCACAACTTGGTGTTCACCTGGATAGGCTTGTTATGATATACTTGTTAGCACAGACACCATGCCATTTTTACATCTCTACTGTAGAGTACATAGCATATTACAGGTACTCCTGTTTGCTGGATTGAATGAATTGGTTGTGGTAAGTAATGTTCTTATGGATGTAGCAGTACAATGTGGGTGGATTTATATATTAGTGTGGAGGTGTTTTCCTGAGCACCAGTCATATGTGTATTTGAATGAATGAGGAAAGGAGAATGGCAGAGGAGGGAGTTATGGAGAGAGGAAGCAAGGGAGAGTCACGAACAGATGTGAATGTCTCTCTCTCCCCCACACTCAGGCCCTCTGTCAGCTTTCAAAATTGGGATTGATGTTTTCCCCTTACTTTTAGCACTGCCTAAATTCTCTAGTGCTGTAAGAATGTTCCCACTTGGAGACTAACTAAGGCCCATTTCTTTCCTTTTTGTGGAGGAAGATGATGATCTGGTTTTATGCTTCTAACAGATAATGCTTTCCTTCCTTTTTTAGATTCTCAAACTCTAGTTTGAAAGGGCACACAAAAGGGGGGTTAAAATAATTGGTTCAAAACAACCTCAAGGCCAGTGAAATGTCAGTTTTGTTCCTGGCCGGAGAACCTCCTTCATTACAGGTAGACATTTTTCTCATATTAGAGAAGAAGAAAAAGAAAGCCCTTCTCCCCTGCCCCCTATTAACCCTCACCTGGGCTATTAGGACCCTCAAATAATGGCAACAGATAAACGTGGGATTTCTGGATGAAAATAGAAGAGAACCCATAGAATACAGATTTTAAAATGTGGCTTCAGATATTTCCTGAACTCTTCATTTTATCTAACCAAAGTCTACCAGTCATCTGTTGTTGGATCCAAGTCACCAGCTCCAGTACTTCTCAGAGGCCCAGGGGATCGAACTCCTCCCAACTAATTTCCAGTTATAACCCATGCTCCACGTGGGCTTTACAGAGTTTGCTATGGCTCTCATCGTCTCTGGTCATTTTATCTTCCCATGTGGATTACAACCACTTTCTCTATAATCTGTCAAAGTTGCAAGGCAGGCCCTCAAACACCTGCTGATTGAACAACAACAAAAATGTTTCAAAAGTCATAGCATTTTATTTTTTTTTTTAAAAAGATTTTTATTTATTTATTTATTTGACAGAGAGATCACAAGTAGACAGAGAGGCAGGCAGAGGGAGAGGGGTAAGTGGCTCCCTGCTGAGCAGAGAGCCTAATGCGGGGCTCGATCCCAGGACCCCGAGATCATGACCTGAGCTGAAGGCAGAGGCTTTAACCCACTGAGCCACCCAGGTGCCCCCAAAGTCATAGCATTTTAGAGCTAAAAGGAACCCCTAAGATCTTTTGAATTTCCTTATTTTAGAGAGGACAAGCAGAGTCCCAAAGGCTTACATTTATAAATTTTTAGAAATCACTGGTTCCAAGCTGTCTGTTCAGCTCAACTCTGTACTGGTTCCTCACTAGAACTGTGGTCTTCCTCATCCTGACATCCAGCCCTACATTTGCAATAACTGTTGGGGGAAGGAGAAAATATTAAGTCTTAAGATCATAACCTCTTTTCGAAAGGAGGATGAGGTGACCATCATGGTGCCCAGTGACAATATGGGGCATTGGAAACAAAGGGGCATTGACTTGGAGGGGGAAGGATAGTTAGTGAGAAGGTAGCAGGAAAGGAATGGGGTGGGAAGTGGGAGTGTACTCAGGCTAAAACAGTGAGTTTTGTTGTTGTTGTTGTTTTAGAGGGTGGGGAGGGACAGAAGCAGAGGGAGAGAGAGAATCTGAACCAGGCTCCACACCCAGTGCAGAGCCCAACTCAGGACTCAATCTCACAGACCTGAGACCATGACTGAGCCAAAATCAAGAGTCGAATGCTTAACTGTCCCTAAAGCAATAGTCTTTGGAGGGCCAATGACCAAGTCTAAGGAGGTCCAAGCAAATCCAGTTCTTACAAAGGCATCTAGACCCAGGTAGAGACCAATGGGAGAAAGGAAAACCACTAGACAAGCTCAGATCTGGGTCTGACTCTACTCTTGCAAGAAAGAGAATTTGGGACACATTATTTGTCAGGCCTCGGGTTTGGAGCAAGCCTTCATTTCAAAGACTTGCAATCAAGTTTGGCATCTTAAAGAGCTAGAAAACAAAGTATTGATTCAAAACAGATATATTAAAATGGATCTGCTCTCCTCGCAGAGCACTGCAGTTTGTTTATATCACAGTTTACTTGGAGCCTGCTGTTAAGTCAAAATCCTATGGTTGTTATTTTAGTCTGTTGACAGCGCAGCTACATATTTCGCCATGTGACGTCATTACAGTGTAGGAGTGAGACATTTAGGGGCTCCAAAATTATGATTGGTTAATGGCAACAAGGTGCTTTTTCTCAGAACACCTTTTAATATGTACTGTACTACATCTCGAAAAAGAAATGTTGGTTACTTTCAATTAAAGCACTGGATGGCAGGGGCGCCTGCTTCTCCCTCTGCCTCTGTCTGCTCCTCCCCCAGCGTATGCTCATTTTCTCTCTCTGACAAATAAATAAAATCTTAAGAAAAAAATTAAAACATTAGATGGCTAGGTGGCAAAGAAATGCCCACTTTTAAAACACTCTTCCTCTCAAAATTCGTAGTGCTCAAGTTATTTTGAAATCTGTTACATTTGCCCCTGCTGATCATGCTGTCTTTGAAGGCATCTGAATTTGAATTCAATCTCTCTGCTTTTTTTTTTTTTTAAGATTTTATTTATTTATTTGACAGAGATCACAAGCAGGCAAAGAAGCAGGTGGGGGCGGGGGGGGGGGGAAGCAGGCTCCCTGCTGAGCAGAGAACCCGATGCAGGGCCTGATCCCAGGACCCCGAGACCATGACCTGAGCTGAAGGCAGAGGCTTTAACCCACTGAGCCACCCAGGTGCCCCTCAATCTCTCTGCATTAAGTCTGCTGTGAAGTTCAATTCCTGTACCCCGATGAGCATTGAGTGTTGTATGGAGGTGTTGAATCACGACATTGTACACCTGAATGTACTAATATGACACTGTATGTTAACTAACTAGAATTTAAGTAAAAAAAAATTTTTTTAAATCCTGTGACCCTTTTTAAGACTGAAATAGTTACACATTTTACATCTTACTACAGAATCAAAGACAGAAAAAATAAAACAAAAATAAAAACAACAAGGACCTCAAAATTACCCTGATCATTGGTGACACATGCCCTATTTAGAAGTATAGAAAAATCCTTACAATCATTGTATGGACACCTTCTACCAAGCCGTGTCTGTGGTGTCTATTTTTAATACCCTTTATATAGTCATAATGTTAGATCTGGAAACAACCTCTGAGGTAATCTCATCCAACTCACTTATTTTATAAGGAGGATGGTAAAGCCCAGAGAAAGTAGGTTACTTACTCAAGTCAGACAGGAAAGTATCAGTGATCTGGAACCAGAATTTTCAATTCCCAGAGTTATTGTTTTCTCTTTACTTTTATTTACATCATTTTGAGATTATTTTCAAATTTAGAATTTTAGAAATTTTGTTATACTATGTAAAGTAAAAAATGAAAGCTTTCTTCCTACAGGACCACCTCCCCTGGAAACCACTATTAATAGTTTGGGATTGGGGCACCCAGCTGGCTCAGTCACTGGAACAAGTGATTCTTGATCTTGGGGTTGTAAGCTCAAGCCTCACACTGGGTATAGAGATTACTTTAAAAAAATAGTTTAGTATACATGGATACAAATTTAATATGGGTCTATATATATTTCTATATATACATATGTGTATATATACATGCACAGATTTTAAAAAATAATTTTAGTACAAACTGGAACTTAACTAAACCACAAAATAACTCTTTGATAAAAAAGTAAGAGCTAGGAACACCTGGATGGCTTAGTTGGTTAAACGTCCAACTCCTGACCTCAGCTCAGGTCATGATCTTGGGGTTGTGGAATCATGCCCTGGGTGGGGCTCCTTGCTCAGCAGGGAGTCTGCTTAAGATGCCCTCTCTCCCTCTCTCTCTGCATCCCCCTCAAACAAATAAATCTTTTTTTAAAAATGAGAGGTCTAGGGGCACCTGGGTGGCTCAGTGGGTTAAGGCTCTACTCAGCAGGGAGCCTGTTTCCCACCTCTCTCTCTGCCTTCTGCTCTGCCTACTTCTTATCTCTCTCTCTCTGTCAAATACATAAATAAAATCTTTAAAAATAAAAGAGAGGTCTATGGGATGCTTGGGTAGCTCAGTTGGTTGAGCATCTGCCTTTGGCTCAGGTCATGATCCCAGAGTCCTGGGATTGAGCCCTGCCTGCATCAGGCTCCCTGCTTGACGGGAAGCCTGCTTCTCCCTCTTCCTCTGCTGCTCCCCCTGCTTGTGCTCTCTGTCAAATAAATAAAATCTTAAAAAAAAAATTAAAAATTAAAAAATAAAAATGAGAGGTCTAAAGAAAAATAAATATTATCTCTAGAAATTATCATTTTGAGACAAAAGCTATTAAAAATTCAAGATAAGATGAGGGCTGTGATTCACTGCCTGGGGTTTATTCACCGACCTGTTGGGAGTGCTGTTGGCTCTCAGCCATGAACTTGAGAGCTCTGCTTTATTCATTCAGGCCCTTCCAGGGGCAGGTAGCCCCTACTAGATGGTCAGTGTAGAAGTATATTTTTTATTATTTATTTATTTATTTATTTATTTAGGCAAACTCTACACCCAATGTGGGGCTCAAATGAACCCTGAGATTGAGAGTCAGATGCTCTACCAACTATGCCAGCCAGGCACCCCACTGTGGGACTATAAAGGCTGGTGGCTACAGGGCCAGGCCTCAAACATGTGGCCTTTGTCCCTTCCCCTCTACATCTCCCCTCACCCACCTCCCCTCCTTTTCCCTCCCTTCCCTGGTGCTGATCCAGAGAGCCCTCCACAGTCGAAGCCCTACATGCCAATCTCAGAGTCTACTTCTCTAGTAAACCAACCTGCAACAGGCAATCAGGCAATTAAGGCTTTTTTTCAATGGGGTGCCTGTGTGGCTCAGTTGGTTAAGCAGCTGTCTTTGGCCTAGGTCCTGATCCCAGGGTCCTGGGATGAAGCCCCCACCTTGCTCAGCAAGAGCCTGCTTCTCCCTCTCCCTCTGCGTCCCCTCTCTCCCTGCTTGTTCTCTCTCTGTCACATAAAAGAATAACATATGAAAAAAAAAAAAAAAAGATACTTTCTCCCTGGCTGCTAAATTGATCAAGACTCCTAATTTTTCAAAGAAAATCTCTGAAATCAAGGCATCCAACAAATACGTATTTCAATTCAAGTCACTTTTCCACGTATGTGTAAAGCCTTCATGATTCTAGATGAAAACAGATTTCAAAACTAAACACCGAAGTTTTTTAGGGGGAGGGGGGGAAAGCAGAGAAGCCGTTATATAAACTGTTGGAGCGCCAAGAACGTTTACAAACAGGTGCTCACTAAGCAGTTGCTGAGCTGAATATAAAGGGCTTTCCATAGACTTGCTTGTGTTCAGGGCCAGATGAAGGCCGGATTTCGGTCTCTCATTCTCTGTCTTTCCTTTTGTTTCTCCTGGTCCCTCCTCTATGTCTCATTCTTCTTTCCTCACTTCTTTTATCTTTTTCCTTTTCAGTCTCTCTCCCTTTTATTTCTCACTACTCCCATCACTACACTGGCTGCTCTCTGGCTGCTCTCTCTCTCGCCAGATTGCTCGCGTTTCACATCAGAGGAGCAGAACAGGAAAGTACTCAACAGGAGGGGTCAGACTGATGCTCGTGTTTTCCCAGGGTAGTTAGCATATCTGTTCAGTGTAGAGGCAAAGGGTCAAACCCAGACTAAGGAAGGAGGGATTTAGGGACAGGAAGGGGAGCGTCCGTGAAGGAGGTCCCAGGGAAGATGGCTGAACTTTGACTCCATCTTTTGTGCCTCAGGAACTATGTCAGGCACTGGAAATACAGAGAGAAAAGACACAATCTCAACTCTTAACACATTACAGCTGACTGGGAAAGTGGGTAAAATGAGAGCAAAGAGAAGCAAACAGGAGGAGGCCTTCCAGAGAAAATGACATTCAAGTTGCTCGTAGGGGCGGCAACAAGGAGAGCAAAGGAGTGGAGGTGTGAGAGGGCCTGGTTCATCTGGAGGCTACTTTGTTGATCTGGGCCTAGGATGGGAGGAGGCAGTGGCAGGGCTTGGAACTGACAGGTTGGCTGAGGTCAACTTAAGAAAAGTCCCCAGTGCTAGGCATAGGGGTTTGGAATTTACTCTTTGGAGCAGGGCCTGTTACCAGTTTCACACAAAATGATGACCTTGGTATTTTATTTTAGCTTTTAATTCTATTCATTTTTCTTGTTTTAGTTTGGTATTTTAGGAAATATCAAATTTTTGGTATTTAGGAAATACCAAATACCACTCTGGGACCAGAATAGAAGATGGATTGGTCGGGAGAGAGGCGATGAAACCCGTTAGGGGTTAGAGTGGTGCATCGGGCAAAGGGTGAGGGTGATGAGGGTGTGAATTGACAATGGGAAGCTGGAGGCAAATGGATGAATGAAGGAGAGGGGCCCAGATGAAGAGGAAGACTTCTAGAACTTGAAAATGAATTGCGTGTGGAAGTGAGGGGGTGCTGGTAGACATATCTCCCTGGGCCTCCATCTCACTCTCCTAAATGTCTTGGAATACCAAGAGGGCCAGGTCTCCATTGCTCTTTCCTTGGCCATTTCTCCAAGGTACATTTGGAGCAAGGCAACCTTGAGTAATGAGGTACTATCTCCCTCGGGGACCAAGGGCAGACTGTTACTGCTTACTATAAAAGCAAAGGACTCCCTGGGCTCACTGTTCCTCAGTTGTCATGCAAACCCATGGTGTGTGTGGTATTTTTCCATGCCTTCTGGAGCACTCCTGTTGGACAAGGTGGGTGAAGAGAACCAGTGCCAACATGTTGCTCCTGCCACTTGCTGCACGGTGAGTAAAAAAGATTTTTGTCTCTGATCCAAGAATCTTGTGTTTTCCTATGAAATGGTAGTGTCTTCTATGCCATGAGTAATGGGCTAAGTTATTAGTTTGTAGATTGGGAGAAACCAACCCAGAGCTGGCAGGGAGGAGGATGATTTCTGGCTTGAGTGACTTGGTGTAAAGTGATGCCTTTTACCAGGAGGAGGAACTGGGGTGTAGGAGCAAGATAATGAGGTCAGTCTTATTGATGTTGATTGTTTTTTACTGACAATTAGGTGTGGTCCTTATAACAGGGATTGATAATAGGAGCTCACTGATCTGTTGGTAAATTCTGCCTCCAACTGAAGCAGGAATAGAAATCCCCAGAGGCTGGCCAGTGACACCCCAGCATGATACTCGGTTTCCCACCTCTGCAATCTTCTGGTGTATTATTCTATGAGTGCTTCCCCAGAAAGCAGGTAGGAAATAAACTTCTTAGGAGAAGCTGAGTAAGGTGAGTCATCAGTTGAGACTTACTCATTTTATTTGGTTAAATGTGCAGCATTATTCAGTAACTGCAATTCTAGCAAGAAAATCTTTTTCTGGGAACTCCTCACAGACTACCCTCACAGATATAAAATAGCTCTGGTCACTTACCCGGTCATTCAAAAACTGATGGTTTAGAGGTGTCCAGGTACTCATCTTTGTCTGCATTTTGGGGGCGTCTGTACTTTTTGGAGGTGCAAATGCCATCATGAAATAACAGAATATTCTTCCATAAGAAAAACCATACCTATCAGAAGAAATGAAACATAGGATCTTTAGAATACTAAAAATACTAAGACCATACCATCTTTTAGTACACTGAGAGAGAGAACTGGGGAGGGAGAAGAACATGTACTGGGAACATTTTATAGGTCAGGCACTTTATTTGCATGCTTAATTAAAGCTCATAACAATCTGAGGAGGTGGTGGGTTTTAGCTCATTTTATAGATAAAGAAAATGAGGCTCACTGACGTCACACACCCTGCCTAAGTTTATACAGACAGACAGTAGATTGTGGAACTAGAAATCAGATCAGGTCTGTTTACATTACTTCTAGCTAAGAACATACCCACCTGGCCAGAAAGAAGTATTTAATTTATAAAATCATAGTGCAATATAAATCACTCCATCCTGGTCCCTTGTCTTTCTTCCTCCCCTCTCTGTGATACCTAAGTAATAAGGGTTCTAGCTTGATACCATATTTAAGAAGTAGAATGGTGTAGTGGACAAATCTGAGCCTTTAGAGATGGATATATTTGGGTTTACTGGGGGAAATGTGCTGTTTTTAGGCACCCAGTCTAGGTCTTTGTTCATTTGATTAAAACACTTTAATTTCCATGAAGAATTACTTGCCCCTTATTGTTTAGAATCTGCTGGGTTGGTTAATCAAGGTCGCCTCTCCTTCCCCAGCCAAGACCTGGTCATGAGACCAAGCTATACCAGTGGGACTGACGCTGGCTCCTCCTAACTTGACAGCTGAGGTGGTTGTTAACAATAGCATCAGTGCCCTGTTAAGTTGCTCCTGCTGCCTTACCCCTCAGAAGCCCCTTGTCCTTTCTTGCCCATTTTTTTTTAAGATTTTATTTATTTATTTGATAGAGAGAGATCACGAGTAGGCAGAGAGGCAGGCAGAGAGAGAGAGGAGGAAGCAGGCTTCCCGCTGAGCAGAGAGCCCGATGTGGGACTCGATCCCAGGACCCTGAGATAATGACCTGAGCCGAAGGCAGAGGCTTTACTCACTGAGCCACCCAGGTGCCCTCTTGCCCATTTTTTGTAAGCTATCTGATTATCCTTGCAATGAATTTCTTCTTTCTGCTTATTTACTTACATTGTAAATATTATATTTGCTTACATTAAAAAAATACAAAACTTTTTATTTTATACAGGTTTGATCCTGGCTCTAAAACTTACTAGCTGTATAACATTTTGCAACTTATTCAGTCTATCTGAGCTTTTAATCTATCTGCATCTACCTTCAACCACTGTTTCAAAGATTGTAGAAAATGGGTCCAACAGAGTGCCTGACAGATGGGCAGTCTCAGTAACTAGTAACTTTCCTGCAACCTTTCTTAGAATTTGACAGAGTGCCTCAAACCCCATCAGAGGGGGGCAACTGGGTGGCTCAGTCAGTTGAGCAACTGCCTTAGGCTCAGGTCATGATCTCAGGGTCCTGGGATCAAGGCCCACATCAGGCTCCCTGCTCCGTGGGGAGTCTGCTTCTCCTTCTCCCTCTACCCCTCTCTCCACTCATGCTCTCTGTCTCTCTCTCTCTCAAATAAATAAATAAAATCCTAAAAACAAAAACAAAAACAAAACAAAACTATTGGAGGGTCATAGCAAACAAAAATTTTTTTAAAAGATTTTATTTATTTGACAGAGAGAGATAGTGAGAGAGGAAACACAAGCAGGGGCAGTAGGAGAGGGAGAAGTAGGCTTCCCATAGAGCAGGGAGCCCGACTCGGGGCTCGAACCCAGGACCCTGGGATCATGACCGGAGCTGGAGGCAAATGCCTAATGACTGAGCCACCTGGGCACCCCGATAGTTTCAATATTATATCCTCAGAGTTTCTACTTGCTACTGCCTTCCTTCCTCTCTGAAGGTGGGTTTCATATTAAAGCCAGAGCTTGCCTCCCTGATCTATGGGCTCCAAAAATTACTATACAGCAGCAAAGATTGGGCAATTAAAAACGAAAACATTACTTTTTGGCTGATATGGGATTCCCCCAAAAGCTAGATCTGAAATCTCTGAGGCTCTCCCTTGACAGGTAATATTCTCTCTCAGGTTTGAGTTCTAGCTGAAGATAAAGCCAATGTTTGAAAACTACAGGAGCATCATTACCCAACTGCTTCTTGGCAGTTGCCTACTACCACCAAACCCTGGTATAAAGAGGACTCACATCAGCACTCACATTCTTCCCAACCTCTAACACCTAATTACCTGAGTCACACATGGTTAGCCAAATTGCAAAATGTCTAAGAAATTATTTCATTACAGTATTATTAATTGGAAGCTATAAAAGTATGTGTGAGTGGGCAAATTATAGATACAAAGTGTGGTCTCTGAGCCTAGATCTGCTCAGTTAAAAATCACATATTTTTTTTTTGTTTTGTATCGTTATTTATGTTTGATTTTCTTCTCTTTAAACCAGTGTTGTTTTTAATCCCTTTTTTTTAAGGGCCATAAAACTCTTCAAAAACATGATGAAAGCTATGAATGCTTTCCCTAGAAAAATGCTCATGAACATAAAATTTTGCTCACCCCAGGTGAAAAACTCCTCCTGTAAGCTGAGAACTTTCCAGTTTGTGGAAGAAACAAGCTAGGCACAATTTCTGAATTAAGACAAAGTAGCTTCTCTTGGGCTTCCCTAAGGCCCAGCACTGGTTGTTTTCTTTTTCCCTGGTACCTAACAGTTAGAAATTATTTGAACTAGCCTTTTTTCAATCATCATGGTTTTTAGGACATACAGCCTCTTGGTAATATAGTTCTGCTGAAGCATTCAAATGGGGTTGTCCTGCTCTTGCTTTGTCATTATCCTTTTGTGTTTTCTTCCACTTCAGAAGATGAGTAGTGTACATTCCTGCATGCACACACATGTTCACGGCATTAACACTCAGGACTATTACAAAGACAGACATTTTTATATAACATACAGAAGAAGTAACTGTCCCCACTCTGTCAGCAAGACAAAGCAAGTTGTCTTCCTCTCCTCCCACATCTAAGCTTGCTGTTTTTTGTGTGACCTCTTTCCACCTTAATGGCTGTCTTTGAATGTTGTTCCTTAACTTTTCCTTGAATGAATAGGAAGAAATGGGCGCCTGGGTGGCTCAGTGGGTTAAGCCTCTGATTTCAGCTCAGGTCATGATCTCAGGGATCGATCCCAGGATCGAGTCCCGCGCCGGGCTGTCTGTTCAGCAGGGAGCCTGCTTCTCCCTCTCTGTCTACCTGCCTCTCTGCCTACTTGTGATCTCTGTCTGTCAAATAAATAAATAAAACCTTAAGAAAAATAAAAAAGACCAGTCGAAGGGCACCTGGGTGGCTCAGTAGGTTAAGCCTCTGCCTTTGGCTGATCCTAGGATCCTGGATCCTAGGATGGATCCCCATGTTGGACTCTCTGTTCAGTGGGGAGCCTGCTGCTTCTTCTCCCTCTGCCTGCCATTCCCCCTGCCTGCTCTCTTTGTCTCTGTCAAATAAATAAATAAAATCTTAAAAAAAAAAAAAAAAGACCAGTTGATTATATCACTTTTCAGTTCAAAAACCTTCAGAGACTCTCTGATGGCTACAGCATAACCAGACTCCTTATCATGGAAGTCTATGTCTACTATGAATTTACCTTTTCAGCCTCATTCCCACCCCCCTCCCCATGCACTATCTACCCAGACACACTGAACTTTGGTACAAAACAACTAGTACAGAACTCTGATGCCTTTTTCCTCATGTGGTTTTCTTACATTGCTCACGTGAATCCTAATCCCAGTGCTACATAATTGGTGCTCAAATATTTGTCAAATCAACTGAGTGCATGAATACAATAGTGGAGAAGAAGCAGTTTAAAGATTAAAACTAATAGAAATGTAGGATAAAACTCAGAACATTATGACTTGAGCACTGGAATTAAACTCAGGATTATTGGGTTTTTACTTGGAATTTACAGAGCAGAATAGGATTGAATTTCTCTGCCAACACACATTGTGCATTGCAGTATCATTAGAGAAGAAAATGATATTATCAGGAAATTATCAGGAAATAAGGTAAGGTTAGATTTAAATACGAATTCATCTTATATCCAACTAGTTAGACACAAAGCAAAAACTACACTAAAGATAAAGGGCTAGTGTTTGATAGGCACAGAAATAATGAACTGTTGTTAATTTCCTAAGCATGAAGCACCTGGAATTTTAACTGCAGTTGAAACGGAGCAAAATATTATCCCCAGGAGCACTAACAAGGTTTGTGAGAGGCCCGTGAGGATCTCAGAGTGGAGATCTGAAAAGAGTCTCCATCCTTTTCATGCACAGCCCATGGCTCTCACCTCTTTCAGCTCACCTCCCTCTTCAAGCCTCAAGCGCTGGTGTTTCCATGGCAGCCTTTTCTTTGACTCCGTCCAACCCCCGCCCTTCCTTCCACGAATCCAATCACCTCCTATAAATCCTTTTGCTGGCATCCGGGGTCTCTTAGGCAACAATGAGTGCTCTCTTGATTGGTCAAGAGATTCGGGAAGGCTGGCTCCAAAATTGGGCACACGGATAAAATTAAAAAAGACCGAGCGCCAAGAGGGAGGGAGGGGCTGCAATCTCCCCATATAAAGCTGGGAGACTGATGTGTCCAATCCCGACACAAGCAGCATCGACAAGCACTCAAGAACATATTAGTGTTCCCACTGAAGGCAACCTACTGAGCATGCCCAGTTATATTTCTCTGGTCATTCCAGGGCTTTGAAATGGAAACTCCACTTTTCCGGGTTTTAAGAGTGGCCAACAGGTAAAAGAGGGTAGGAGGAAAAAGAACTCGCTGCTGGTTCCATGAAAGAAGAGCACCTGCCACAGGAAGTGGAAGGACGTGGGAAAATTGCCCAACACTCAAACTCACAATTGCTTCAGCATGAATTTCAACAGAAATTCAGGCTGACTGACAGATACACCAGGGAACCAGCAGATGGCATGGCTTAATAAGAATAACCCAAAGTTGGAAAATTTTACGGTCCGGTCTAATTTAATTAAATTTCCTGAGCACCCACCATGTAACACAAGAACTAAAACACAAGAACACACGAATGAAAAAGATCTTATGAGAAAGATTGGAAAATGCAACGTGTAAGTAACCAATATAAAGCCCAAATTGATAACTTTTGTGATAGAACTACAAACACGTGCTGGAGAACAACCAAAAATTCAAAATTCCAGACGGAGCTGCTTTGGTAAATATAAAGCAGTTTCTATGGATAGCAGGTAACAACAACAAAAAGACAAAACAAAAAAACCTACCAAACTCCCACCATCTATGCTTCCTAAAATAGATAAAATATGCTCTCCTCCAACTTAAACAAATGTAAACCTATGCTTATATTGTTTTGTAGTTTTGAAATAGGCAGAGTTTGTGTATCTCCAACTTGAAAGAGAAGAGTGAAGCTCATAGAGATTGTTGCTTTCCTTGAGTTAACAAATAATCTGTAAGTGGCCAAACTGAAATTAGAACCTAGGTTGTCTAAATTCCAGCCTAGTGGTTTTTCCACATGATCGGGTTGTATGTAAATGAATAAACAAAGCCTTTGGTGGGGGGGAGGGTCTGGGGAAGGTAGTCGATGCAATACTAAATTACCATGTACAGTATTACCAGTTAACATTTACGGTTTCAAAACGGGTTCATCCAGAAAGAGACCAGTTTTAACAACATGCTATGTCTCTGTGAAGTTCCCACTCATTACAGACTTTCTACTGGTGGTTACAACATGGAATGAAAGAGAGATGGGATAAAAGAAACCACTTCACTTTAACCCTGTTGAATTTGCATAATTTTATACCTTGAAAATAAGCTTCCTGTCGACTGTCCTCTCAACCAGCACCCTCCCGGCGTCCGCTTGTGCAGCATCTCATCCATCCAACTGCTGATGCTCCTTTCCCCTCTGACCTGAATGACACCAGTCAAGCTGTGTTCATAGTGAGCACACCAGGTCACTGAAGTCGGAAATACGTCAACATTCCTTCAAACATAAAGACAAATTTAAAGACTACATAAGAAACACCCTATATCCCCACCAAAAATTTTAAAAACATTAACATTTTTGCTTCATGTGTGTGATTAACAGTCGAAGCCCCTTTTGTGTACTTTACAGATCTCATTCCTCTCTCTGCCTGTGTAGAGGTAATCACTATCTATGCAACTGGTGTGTAGCCTACTTGTCCATTTTTTCTGCTTTTTATATATAAGCATTCACAATATGGCTAAGTGTTTTTAAAGAGACACCATAATTTACATATCTTGTAGTTAACTTTTTTCAGTGTTTTATTTCTGAGATTTAATCATGTCGATACATGGAGTGATAATTTATCAATCACTCCCACCTTCTCATGTGAGCTATGATATGTCCTATACCTGACAGTTTGCATGGGATGGTGTGCAAATTTCATAAAAATACACTAGCTGCACACCTCCAGAGGTTCTGTGGGTACAAGAAATCTGGAAATACATAAAGCAAGCACACACAGATTTTCATATACACTACTTGCCTCCTCACTCACCCTCAGAAAAGGCAGTGATGGCTCAACAGGACACGCTGACTTGCTTAGAATCAGCTGAAGAATCAGTATTACTTAAACAAACAAACTGTTACTGCTCAAGTGTTTATTAAGAAAATTGAAATGTCACTTCAGATCTCATTTATTATGCTTTTTCCCACAGCTCACCATCTGATGTTAAACTGTATTTGTGACTAAGCTCAATACTCATTATTTATTTAACACTTATTGAGCACCTTTTAAAAATTGTGGTAAAATACACTTAACATAAAATTTACCAATTTAACCATTGTTTAAGTGTACAGTTGAGTAGTGGCAAGTATATTCACGTTGTTGGGCAACAGGATCGGTATTATTTGAGACCATGGGCTATCAACAGAACAAAATGATGCCTATGACGTCTAGCTTGCAAAGGGAGGAAAAGGAAGAGAAAGAAAGGTAGGTACAATGTAGTAAAAGAACAGCGTTGGCTTTGAATGAATCCAGACTCCCCTTAAAAAGCTGTGTGACTGGAAAAGTCACTCAACCTTTCTGAGCGTTCTTTTTCCTCAACTGAAAAATGAGAGATTGGGTTTCGATGATCTTTAAGAATTCTCTCTGAAATGGTTTATGTAGAAGAAGAAAGGGGAAACATTTTCTACGGAGAAAAAGATGGGGGAATGCTAGCAACAACCACAAAGTCCACCTGTGCACTTAAGGTGTTGGCCACGCGGGTATAAACCGTTCCCAGGAAGGTCTCCAGTCTGCTCTGTTGTTTAAGCGTGAAGTTCTGCAACAGGCCAGATACCCAGTCCCATCTACACCCAGTGCCACCCTCAACATCTGTAACCCTACTCCTGACACCTCCAATCCCCGAGTTCCTAGGTCAGCACACTCGTTCTCAGAACAGGTTTTGGTCGTCTTGCGATGATAGATAGCATCCCGGGCTCGAGTGATGAGAGTCGCCGCGCTTTCTCAGCAGGGCAGGGAGGGTTTTGCAAAGAGGACTGAGCGCATTTAAGAGAAACCATTCCAGAGTTCGAAAGACCGCCGCCAGAGCAGGACAGCGCAAGGCGTCACCCGACGGCGCAGAGAACAAGCTGGTGCAGGGTTGTTCAGCCGGACCTCTCAGCCGGGCCCAAAATGGGAGCATTCAGCCGAGGGTGCGCAGCGCGCCTGCGTCGTGCGTGCGCGCGCGCGCGCGCGCCCCGGCGCTCCCGAAAGCTCGCGTTCGCTCCGAGGCGGCGCGCTGTTGGTCCTCGCTGGCTGCGTTTACATTAGGGACCCGCGGCCGCCTTGGGCCGGCGCTGCAGCCCCTTGGAGCCCGACCCCGAGGTGTGAGGTGAGCGACGGGGCGTGCGGCTGCCCGGCCAGCTTGGCTGGGAAAGGGCGCGGGCAGTGTGGGGAATGAGGAGGTGCCGCCGCGGCTGCCCGCTCCTCTGCCTAACCCTGTGCTGAGGAGCCACCAGCAGCTCCGGCACCTCCTCCTCAGGGATCGTTATTCTCGTCGCGGCCAAAACAAAAGCCTTCGGCGCCAGGCTGTGGCGGGGGTCGGAGGGGCTCCTCGGGACCTACGGCGCGCCGAAGGGGTGCGGAGGAGCCGACTTTGGGGTGCGGGCTGAGATGGGCAGATGCCCGGGAGATTATTAACCCTCTGCATCCTAAGCCAGCGCTGGGCAACCTGTGCGAGTGTGGACCGCGGCTCCCTCTCGGCCACCCTCCGCCCAAACCCTGGGCGGAGGAAGGTGTCTGGGCTGAGCGCCCACTCCCTGGGTCGGCGCCGCGGGGGCGCGTGGCGCTCGCGGGAGAGTGGGTGGAGGACGCGGCGGCCGAGGGGGGTGGGGGGAGGAGGACAATACATCTAGGGCTCGGGCGCCTGGGGCCGGCCCGAGACCCACGTTAGAATTGCCCCTTGCCTGGATGTTGTTTCAGCATTTGGCCGACCTCCTATTTCCAGTGCCTAAAAGTTGTCCCCTCCATCCCATCAGTTTCCAAAGTCTGCACTGCCTCTCAGATGCCTCCCCCGCTGCCCTCTTTTATGCTAATGTGTATTTGCCGTGAGGGTACTGCTGGGTAATTAATAGACGGCCTCTCAAATGAAGGTGCTGTAAAAGCATTTCAGGACATTTTAACATCTTCCCAGAAGCTCGTTAAATCTCAGGAGTCTTGGAGTTAGGTGCTCCTCTGTAGGAGAAAGAGGGTTTCCCCCTCCCCCTTTTCTCTCTCTCTTTCTTTCTTAATTTCTTTCTTTCTTTCTTTTTTATTAAAGAACAAAAGCGCGTGCCATTAATTTAGGTGTGGGATAGATGTGAAGTTGAAAAATACCAATAAAAGAGGTCCAATTTTTTGCCCAGAATTAAAATGACATTTTGAATTTTGGTTTTCTTCTGAATTTGGGCAGATGCAGCAGCAGACCAGACCCAACACCTATAAAAATGACTGCTGTATAAAAGTATCCAAACAAAATCTTATTTTATAGAAGTGGTTTTGATAGACTGTAATGTTTATTTACAGGAATTGGGTTACTTTGCAAAGCCAATACTGCAAGAGCAAGGAAACAAAGACCTGACTGACATGAGGGATGTTACCTCCCTCTTCAGCCTTTTAGTCTTCAGTGGTGTGCTGACAGTGTGAGGAATAGATAAATTCTTAGTTCTGTTATTAAGAAGCAAGATACTGCTTCACATCCATACTTTTAAGCAAATCGATACTATATTCTTGGGGGGGTGTGGGGACGAGGTCATTTACATGAACTACCAAGCCACAGCTAAGGGTAAAAAGATTCAGAGTTAGGGAAAGTAGGAAAGAGGCGTGAAAGCTTAATGGGTGGGCTTGAAGGGATGGAGTTGAAGATAAAATATAATTCCCTCTCTAGCTGTCTCTGTCAATTAAATAAAAT